TTCTTACCGGAGAAAGTTGTCCACTTTTGTTCATCAACAATCCAACATACAAGCAGGGGAAGACGTAAACACCAATAAACAGAATGCATTCCCCATCATAATGCTAAGGTAGAACGATTAACGTACACCAGAGTGGAGACCAGATAAGCCAAAGCCAGCGGCTGTAGCTGCTGCATAATCTCCACTGTCCACCAGTTTTCTAACTTTAGCGAGCACGGCAGGCGCATCTGGATTCGTATAATCGCCGGGCACGCCCGTCCATAGCGTATCATCTGCACAAAAGATCCGCATCTCCCTGGTTTCAGCTCTATGATCAACCAAATAAAAACAAAGAAACTCATTTTTTAATGTGTAGCAATATTTCAACCGTAGATTATTCTGAGAACCGCAGAAGCCAAAAGAACATAAAGTTCATCACGTTCTTTGCTTTTCGATTAATTAGCTTCGTTAACCTGCGGAAAAAGAAAAAGATAAAGGCTTGAGAGAGGCAGGTTACCGTTAAGCTGGATGGTCTCGGAGGCGACACCGCCCCACACCATGGCGCCGAGGCGGCCGTTGCCGAGTGGAGCCGCGTCGGTCCAGTGCGCCGCCGGCGAGGTGAACACCACCTTGAGCGGTCGCTCCTCGTCGTCCAGGATCCCGGCGGCTGCGGCGGCTCGCCACTCCGCCGCGTCCGCCTCCCCCGGCTGCCGCACCCATACCCATTCCCCCTCCGCTCTATCCATCGTGGCACACGGAGAAAGAGAGGGGATGGAACTGAATTGAGAGTTGCTTTTGGCCCGATCGTCGACAGCGAGAACACGAAGCGGGGTAGCGTTCTTTTATCTTTTCTTTTTAGTTTGAGGGTTACGTGCAAGCTGATGATTTATACGCCGGTAGAAGCGTTGTCTGTGTTCGGTATCTGAGGCACGATCTTCTCCTGCCTGCGGTCCTGCTGGATTCCGATGTGATCCCGCTCGAGTATAAGTTTCCCTTTCAGCCTCCGTTCACGCCGCATGTTTTTTTGGAATGATGAGAGGTCGGTCTTTCTTAATATAAATTAATTATTATAAATAATATGTTATTTTATTTAAATTAATAACTTCCTTATTTATATAGTATAATTAAGGAAATAATTAAGATTGATTTTTTTTCCTTAATCATGTGAAAAAATAAGTAATTTTATCAATCAATTAAATTATTAATTGATTTATTTCCTTATGAGTGATGTGATTTTTAGGAAGCAAATAATTAAATTTTTTTTTTTACTTGTGAATCATAAGGAATATTACATTTCTATTTTTTTATGTGAAATTAAAATAAAATCAATAAAAAAAATAAAAAAAGATAAATTATTATTTGATTTATATATATAATAAATAATTAAATAATAATAATTGATTTGTAATGTTAGATTGATTATTTGACTTGATATCATAATATTTTAATATTATGCTATAATTATAAATGTCAATAGGAGTTAACTTTGCATCAAGACATTTATGTTTAGTAAAATGTGAAATCGACGTGTAATGTGTTTCATTCAGCATAATATCTCACAAAAAAAGGTTCTCTTCTCTTAAGAAATTAGCTAAGGATTTAGAAAACTTTTCTTATTTGATTTTTAGAAAAAAAAAATGTCAAAAAGAAATTTCAGTATAACGTTAATTGATTTATTTCCTTATGAGTGATGTGATTTTTAGGAAGTAAATAATTTAAATTTTATTTTTACGTATGAATCATAAGAAATAAATATTATATTTTTTTGTATAAAAATAAACTAAAAATAAAGAAGATAAATTATTATTTGATTGATTTAAACAATAAATAATTAAATAATAATAATTGATTTGTAATGTTAGAACGATTATTTGACTTGATATCATAATATTTTATTATTATGCTATAATTATAAATGTCAATAGGAGTCTTAACATTGCATTAAGACATTAATGTTTGGTAAAATGTGAAATCAACGTGTAATGTGTTTCGTTCAGCATAATATCTCACAAAAAAAAAGGTTCTTCTCTTAAAATTAGCTAAGGATTTAGAAAACTTTTCTTGTTTGATTTTCAGAAAAAAAAATGTCAAAAAGAAATTTCAGTTTAACATTAAATATTTGATTTTTTTCTCTCTGATATAAAAAAAATAAACTTCTTCAAGTTATTTTTGATGGATTTTAGTATATTAAGGTAAACAAAAAAATTACCTTTTCATATCACGTTTCATTCAGTTATTTTCATTATGATCAAATAACATATGTTACCTTTAGACTTATGTATGACAGTACACTAATCGGATATCGCAAAAATATTATTATTATTATTATTATTGATAATAATAATAGGACCGTTTAACTTGTTTCACTAATTTAATACAAGATGTAGAGGGTCAATGGGCCAATGGATAGGTTAAGCTTTGACCGAGTCTTTCCAAACCATATCTTTGTTGGGTTGAAGTGATCATATGAATACAAAAGAAGAAATATTACTTTAAAAAAAATGGTCAAACAAATGTGATAACTATATTATATGAACAAAAATTGTGATAAGTGATAAAGAAAAACCTGGATGGTGCAGATAACATGGTGCAAGATCTTCTATATTGAGAATTTAGATAGGTGTCTGGAACATAGTTATAAATTCATTTATCATGAGAATTAGGTGCCTCAAAAACCCATACACTACTCTATTTTGAGTTACCACAATAATCCATCTACTTGTATAAGTTTGATGTGATTTTTATTTAAAATATATTTATTTTTTCAAAGTGGTTATTGATCTGCCTAATATTTTGAGTTTCTAGATGCATACAAGATGTATTAATATACAAAAATTATTATTTAAAGTATTCTATCATCATTCATAAATTGGAGTCCTTTTAAGGATCTATGATATTAAGTATATGATATTTCAATACAACTTGATCATACCCAACGTTATGTGACTAACATCTTAGTGTTATATGGTCGACACATCAATATAACTTGGTTGATACCTAGTGCTATATGATTGACACCTTAGTGCTGTTGCATTATCACATATTTAGTTAGTTTTGTCTAAGTTGTGCAACGCCCTTGCGTATCCATCCACAAAAGATCAATCTTCCCGAAAATTCTTATGATTCCTTAAGGATCTACAAAAGAGAAGACATATTAAATGAAATGTTTAACTCGGGATCTTCCAATTAACTATTTCATTAAGCACTTGATAGACAATGTAAATTTCAAACATAGACTTTATAAGCTTTGAACGATCATACGATTGCCACGACTAAAAGTCACAACAAATGTCTATATAATATTATTACGGAATAAAACAGTGTCATCAAGCTTATATGGAGCTTATATAATATTATTACGGAATAAAATAGTGTCTATATAATGTCTAAGGCTTTGAACCAGCCTTAGACATTATCCCAAAAGCTTATCCAATCATATGCCATCAAGTAGCTCTTGGGTGCTACACTATTTGATACTTCGTACTACTCTATGGAGCTAGAAAATCTCCAAATGATTACTTATATAGTCTATTTTTTTTTTGGTAGTTTTGTCTCTACACGATGAGTATACAACCTGCATTTATATATCTGAAACAATCACAAAAGCGAATAAAATGGGGCTACCAAGCCTATTACAAGTTCTCTATATGTTGTGAAAAGCGTAAATAAAATCGAAAGATATAGACATACATGAGCACTATATCGAACACATTGTTTATAGCTTTATTGTCTATTTCATTCCTTAATAAGAGACTCTTGCATTTGACCTAAAGTCTCATATTTTTAGTTATTTTGATGAGAAACCTATTGACACCAGTGTTACAAAATTTCATGACCTCTATTTTTAAGTTTTTCTCAGTACTTAGAGTTTGTATTTGTATTCTTCACCTCATTGACCCTTTCTTATGACCATACGCTCTCCCGCAATGAGAGCAAGAGATCGATCACTCTACGAAATTCCTACCTCTACGATACTATGACACTACCACACCCATGACTATATTATACATCATCTCACATATGTATTCTTTTCTTTGTGATCGATTAATCTGCCTCTATAGTGCTGTTACACTTCTTTGAGTCTACTACTATTTTAATCGACGCTTGGTTTAAAGTAGCTAAGTCCCTCTGAACCCATCATCACTTCCTCGTCCCTTTCGATCACTTGCTTTAATATCTTTATGTTCTTCGAGTAGTTCCCCTTGGTCGATGGAAAGATAGACTACAACTCTTATACATTGTCTTTACCATCATGTTATACAGCTCATGTTAATTTTGTTCTCTTTTACTTCATTGGAAGTAATGTTTGTTTATTTGGTCTTGTCCTCTGACTTGTTGAACTTCCTTAAATGAATATGAGCTTTGCCGCTAAGGGTTAATGCTCCCTACAGCCAACCAGTGTGGACTTTCTCGAAACTGGGGCAAATGGGCTTCATCGCTAAGGGTCAGTGCACCCTATGATAGGCCTGTGCGAACTTCCCTGAAATTAGGGTTGGCCGAGGGCAAAAGGTTGCTTCCTTATCGCTCGTCATAGGGAACGAGAGATGTGCGGGTTCCCCTACCCATGTCATCGTCTATGTGGCAACAGGTTGTTGGGTGAATTAATGGGTCAATGCCTATGTTATTATTTTTCCTATCATTTGTTCCTCCCGAAAGGTGTGCTTTGAGACTCCACACGTTTTTCATCCATTTTGTTATGACCCTCTATCATTCCATTTCCGACATGTGAAATATTGAAATTATTTTTTTATCGATAACGTCGTTAAAAATGAAAGAGATATTAAAATTATCTTTTTTTCATCATTTTTGTATTGCTATGGTGATGTCATGTATTATGTTTTTCGTTAATACAATTGAAGATGTTAAGGCAAATAAAATTATTTATTTTATTTTTAAAATTATAGAGATCTTAATATAATTTTTTTTAAGTATAAAAATTACTATACTAATAAGATCCAAGTAAAAAGGTAATATATAATTAGTCGATGTTGTTACAATATTATCATTAAGTGCGAGAAATTTGATCGACTCTCTGTTATCCACAACTAAGTCGGCCGAGCTTGAGCTCTCACGGACAAGGATCAAGCATCTGGTCTGCAGCACCTTCCACGGCGCTTCTCGTTCCCCAAGCAGCCGCAGGAGGAAGCCATGACATCTCCCGCCGTGAGCATTACTGTCGCAGAGGCCGTCTGGGAGCAGATCAAATCCTCACGATCAGGTCTTAATTTCTTTTCACCTCCTATCTCCCTATTTCCCAATCCGTCTGCAAGCATTCTTCTCATCCTCCTTGGGTTGTTTCCGTGAACACAGCCTCGGACGATCACCTGTCGATGTGAGTTCGCCCTTTTCCCCTCTCTCATCACTCTCGCACGCATTTACTCCATGAACTAAAGGATTTTTTGTTCTTCTTTACCACGTTCCAGTTTGCAATTCCTCTTCGGCAGGAACTTGGAGCGCGCCACAAGGATCGTCGACCAGGGCGGCGTGCGTAAGGTCTCCGCCGCGCCCAGCGGCCGTTCCTTCTTCCTGGTTCTGTCCCCCCCTTCATTCTCTCTCGCTTGTTTTCTTAATAAGATGAAATCCTTCGGCTGTTGTTAAGAGAGAGGAAGGGGATTTCAGGTTGTCGGGGAATCAAAGAGGAAGGAAGAGTATATCTGCTTCCCGGAGCACCACTGCACTTGCTATTCCTTCTTCTACGACGTCGTCAATCGTGGGGAGCAACTCTGCGTGGGCTCTCTTGGAGATTCTGGGTTCCAATTTGATGGCTTGGTTGTGTTAAATTGCTTTGGTCTCATTTTTGTCGTTCTTGTTTTAGTGCAAGCATCAAATAGCGGCTCGACTGGCAGAAGCCGTAGGCGAGGTTGTGGAAGTGGAGGTGTCCGATGAGCAGCTAGCAACGATGCTCTCGAAGCTCTGACAAACAAAGCGCCCCCGAGAGTGGATATACTGATGGATGCTACTGGTAATGTATCCTTGTCATTTTTAGGCTTCTGTTTTATCAGTTGTTTCCAAGGAAGATTACGAATATGTGATTTTCATTTGTTCCAATTGTTCTATTACAAATTACTTCAAGTGATTGTTACTTTAGTTTACAGATGTCTGACGCATCAGAAGTTTGGATCCAACCCAAGTTCTGAGTCTAAGCTTGTCACAAATCCGGTGTCGTGAAGATGGGATTTGGCTGGTGAGCCTACAAAAACTGCATCAGGATGTATCCAACAAAGATCTTAAGTTAATCTATACCCAAAGGATTCGAGAGTGGAAGTGTATGATTTTCTCAGATAGGTTAGAGGATGCACCTGGGGGACTAGGTAACCGCTGAAATTGAAGTGAGTTGTTAATTCATGAGATGGTTATGCGAAATCCTCAATCATCATTCAGCTGTGAAGGTGCATGTTGAACTATTAGATGTATCAATTATAACATGATTGCTCATGCTAACATCAAGGAGTCTTGGTTGATGTGCTAAGAATAATAAACATCCTCATTGGCGATCATTAGACCCATAAGGTGACGTGTCATCGGCTTGCCCATTCACCCTTATCAGTGGTGATCAATGACTTTATTACCTTCTTATACGAAATATTTTTCTAGTCATGTGACATTATTGTATCATTCCATAATATCATTAGGATCCATGTCATCTGTCTTTAGCACATGATGCAGCAGTATTCACTATAAGCTTTTAAGTTATGAAAGGAAAACATATGACAGGAAGAAACATTATGGAGAAAGTTAGTATCAAAGCAGAAATACAAATGGTCCATGTTCTGGTAGGATCAATCATGTATTGTCTGTTCTCCAAACACAGGAAAATCATATTGGTGAACATATGGTCATGGTTCGATGCATGAAAGAGGGAGAGAGGAGAGTTAGATGCAGCCAGCCTACTGTGATAAGCTTTATTGTTTGGATCTTCATCAATACAGTAAAATAGTAAGTTTATATTCATACCAATGTGCTAAACATGTTCCGATCTTTCTTGATTGTCAGTTAGATAAGAATTGATACATCAAGAAATATGTCGGAAGGTAAAATGATTATATTCTTTTACAGAGTCTACATTTTTTAGAAACCAACAGGAGTAGCTATTCAATGGATCAATAGAGCTTCAAATGCATGTTTGTATGTGTGTTATACTTTCCACCTAATTCGCTTACCTTTTTCTTTCATAATATTTGGTATCCTTTTAACTAATCGTCTCCTGGGACCTGCTTTTGTTCTCTGTTCTGGAATTCATCTTTGATGTTGGTAATTATGTCCACTTATCATTACATTGTACCATCCAGAATATGATTTAAGTTTTTTATTGAAGAATGTTGCAGAAATATGCATGACAGTAATTTGTAATTTGAACTAGTCTAGCTTATATATATAACTGAAATAAAATAGTATAGTTGGATGGGTTTCAATTGGATAAAAGCTTGTCACTATGGCTGCCACACAAGACTTGATGGGTGTCCATTCTGAATTGATTGTGCACTGTTGGCTCACTTTTATTGTGAACTTTCATTAGTTGGTACCAGAAACAATGCTGCAGGGAAAGCGAGGGCAAAGGGCTGGGTTTCTCTTCTACTGCTAATGCCACTTTCTTTTCCTATTTTTCACATCAATGGTTGGCAGATGAGTGCCTGTGTTCTCAAAAACCGTTGGTTGGTTGAATATTAATTTAATTTCAACCTAAGGTTCTTGTTTGAGACTTGGGTTTTCTTCGCCAACCAATTTCTTTTGGCAATTGCCACCTTCTCGGCTCAAACAGCAAGGTAAATGGGCTTAGGACTGGTGAAAAGGAAGGCTCTCAGAATTATTCCTGCTGGTAAATAAGACAGTTTTATTTAATTTGTGACATTAATATCTGTTGTGAGATTCTACCTGCTAGACGATGTTATACATTGTTAGCTTTTAAAGGTAATATGGGAGCTCTCATTGAGGATGTGTTTCCTATCTGCATGAGCACGGTTAAAAGGCCTAGGTATAGATGTGGAAGTCTCAAACCAAGTAATAAATCTTTTATTTTCTCTCGTGGGCTAAGAGTGGTGTTACATTACATTTTAAAATCGATCTAATTATATTATTCCAAAGGAGGGATCATGAAGGTGACACATTCAGGAGACAATAAAGTATTTTCAGAGTCTAACCTTAGATAATCATTATACTCTTGTTGACATTTCTATTTAAATTGATTCCAATCTAATATTTATCCACAATTGTTCAGGATCAACATAGGCTGAACTGCGAGCTCGAGATCTGCAAGCTCACGTGGACACCGAAGAGGATGCTTGGTGGTGCTTACTATATGCCGGTGCATGGGTAGGCTGCCCTAGAAGAAGTGTTTATGTTGAAAGAAGCTCAAGTTTTGCTAGCTCTAGAACGGTGTTTTGATATCATGAGAATAAAAGAGTTTCACATTGATGCAATGAAAATGTTGACCTCTTTATCTGAAAACAGAAATATTTTCATATGCTGCCTATTGTATGATTAAGAAAGTCTGAAGCTAATAATTTGGATGTTCCCAATTTTTTAGCGAATTTAAGAAAGTCTGCATCTTTGTCGCAGTTGGTGAGTCTCGTCTTTGAGATGACCATGGTAGGTGCAATGGACCTTCCTCCATGAGTTTCTGCATTGACATGCTAAAACCTTAATCTGTTTTCTCTCTCTTCTACTTCTTCCTGAAACTTAATATTCTTAATATCTGTGTGAAAGAAGACATCATCCTATAATCATTTGTTCCTAATGCATATATTTATTTAATATTGTCTGATGATGTTGGGATATAATTGTTCTCGGGTAGGTTGATCGACTAATGTATTTTAGTGGATCCCCAACTCCTAAGATTAGGATCAATGTTGTGAATAAATCATTGCATCGATGCACATGTTTACAAACATAATGGCACGCCCATGTCTTTCTCAGAATAGATTAACAAGAAAGCTTTCAGTTTGACACTATCTGTTTGTTGTAGCAAATACTATCCGAATTGAGTTCCATATATCCCTGCAAATGTCAATTGGATGTAACTTTCCAGAGGTCTCATCGAGCACAGGAGCGATTTCATTCCAATACTTCAACAAGAAACTCTGTTCCCCATGCGAACTTTAGATGTCCGTCTTATTGGTGATGGAGAAAAGGCCATGCGATCTCATGTTCATTTGGATGACAGAGGTGAAACCTCACCATCACATTTGCAAAAGCACCAATGAGATGAATTTGTCAGCAGGGATTCAACGGTGGTTGTTGCAACAAGCAGATTTGCATGGCAATAATTCCATCTCGAGACTGGTTGTGCGCTTGTTTCTTTCACTTAGACATTGATGGGGGAGAACAAAATCATCAAATGATCCACCTTTGAGATTCTTTTGATCTGTACTTATCTCTGACTAGGATCAGGTGGTCCTGCACCACATTATCCTCCAAGTTGGCACCATCATTGTGCTTTTGTTGGATCTGGTGAAATTAGTCTGCCCATAGGGTTAAATTCCATATCCAGTGGATTCAGCAGCACTTGAATAACCCTAGCCAACAGGAAAGAACCAAGTTTGCATCAAAGATTGACAAACCTCGAGTACTGTAGATTACAGCTGACAAGTAAAAGGAAGAGTTCAGTAGAAGTCATGTACAGAATGTTTCACCTTCCTGTCAATCTTGGAGTTGGAAAATCTATCTTGGCTTTTGTTCATGAGCAGCACTCCCCAACTCATAGAGGCCTTCTTGGTGAAACAGCGGGCTTGGGCAGGGCAAGAATCAGGAGAGCTGAAGCCTGAAAGAAATGGTTATGATTTGTTCTCTGGTCACTTGCTGACAGCCTCAACTCCTCCAATATTCTTCCATGTGAGGAGGACCACATCAAACACTTGGAAGGAATGCAACCAAAAAGACTCATTATTGAACTTCACCTGAAAGATAGGGCGCATAACACTTCCTTTCCCTGTAGCTTGGTGATGGCAGAAAGCCAGAAACCACCAATGGCATTGCCACTTTTTAGCTGGTGGCCACATCCTACCCCTCACACATCCATTTGGGCGCTAGAACTCAAAAAATCTGTCTTCAGAACCACTTCCTTTCTTTCACCTGAAACCACTTGCCAAATTATAATGTGGTCCCATCTCGACAGAAATTTATGCTGCAATGTGCGAAAAATTTGCAAACAAAAAGAGAAGATAGAAGAGATAGCATAATAATGACAATCAATAAATATCATAAGCATTCATATATTCATCACAGAAGAACATTTATACGAAATGACATTCAAAATTACCTGGTAAAACCTCTTAATAAAATCAAATATTGTGGTGTATCAGACATCTGTGGTCAATTTTATCAAATATCGACCAACGTAATTTTTCCAATGACAGAAAATATCAGAGACCAATTATCCTATTGTGTGCACCAGAAAGCCTGTAGCCTAAGATTGATTTCTTGGTATCATAGTCATAGATTATCACCTGGCCGGGTATTATAGGAACTACTGAATGGATGTGATTGTATCCATGACTAATATGTGACCTAAAACCTATAATATAGCACGGCCATTGTCCATTTCTCCTGCATGCATGTGGCAAAAAAATTGTGAAATAGAAGCTCTTTCTTTAATCTGTATGGATCAGACTCTCTGACTCATCAGCCAATACCATAACTATTCTACCACAAGAAAATAGCATCGTCAAGGCTTGCATCATCACAGAGCAGAAAGGAACATATATGCTTGACCTTTCAGGGGAATTGAGTCCCCCATTGTCCTCTTAACAGTGATATGCCACCAAAACAACACGACTTGCAGTGAACAAGTGGTCCCTAAAGTACTTCTCCTTGAACATCCTCCACTCCCAGAAGTGCAAGCAACTTCCATTGGAACTCCTCCATCCAAATATTCCACTAAGAAATAACAAATTAACATTAAATGCAGCACTCACCTCTGACTAAGCTTTATTGCAATTATTGGTGGACCTTAAGATGCAAAATAAACAATGATAGCAATGTAATGGCATCTCCACTCAGCTCAATGCTTTCATGAAAACCTGTAATGTAGCCATGGAATGAAATGACCATTTCTGAAAGGCACACATCCACTGCTACAACTAGAAAAAGAGAAATTTTAGATGAGCTATAGGGTAGCTTTCACATAAGAATTTATTCACAATTTGAAGTATATTGTGTGCTATTGAGCCTGTTCTCATGCTTGACAGAATTCACTAAAATGAAATTCCAAGTTCAGCATCATTTTCATGGTATAAGACCATAGCTTCAGATAAACAACACAGCACAAGATTTACCCAAGTGAAGTAAACTCTGCAGGGAATAATTGATGATAAAGAGACTTCAAATTGTAATTTTCTGGCCATGGATCATTCAAGAAGTGGATGTATACTATGCATGTTATTGATAAGCTTATTGGAGGATCAAAAGATACATTATGAATAAATCTTTTTTATCTTCCACCAACTGAAGGGAACCATTCTTTAATGCAACACTCTTCCAAACAACTTCTCATAAAGATAATGGATTACAAGTCATTCAAAATATTTTCAGCATAGAAAAATGGAGAAACAAATTATGATATGTCAATGGATAGACTTGCCGTTGGACTGACAACCTAGTATTATACTTTCACAGAAGAGAATCACGTAAAGTGGACATGAACTGGTAAGGAAAAAGATGGAGTCTAAAAAATTGACCTTGACAACAGTAAACAAAAACAAACTTTGCCACTTTAAAAACACCAAACGTGGGTCACTCCAGTGCCACTTCTGTTCCAACTGATAAGCATTCCCCCTTACAATTATTCCCACTTCTGACCACATTCTGTTTCTTTAAAGGAAAACCAACACAATCCCGACAAGGGATGTACGACTTTCGATCCCTTTGCTTCTGTAACCTCTCATAACTTTTTCCTCTTCAACACTAATTGACGTACTTCCAGATTGGAAAAGGGAGAAATGGAAGAGGAGGAAGCAAGAAATCAGAAGCCAAGGCAACAAACAATTGATTCTGATGGCAAAGAAATTTTAATTGAAGATCGTCAAGCATGGCTGAATCTGACGCTTGGTGGGAGAACCTCATCAACTGATGAAAGCTCTTCTAGTTTGCAGTCAACTCCAAGCCGCAAGATGTTCTCATGCAACTTCTGCAAGAGAAAATTCTTCAGCTCACAGGCCTTGGGGGGTCATCAAAATGCCCACAAGAGAGAGAGAGGTGCCACTAGGAGGTCTCACCAGTCACAAAATATGGGATTTCCCCTCTATGCACCTTCTCTCAAATCTCTTATGGTTCATTCTCATTCAATTGTTCATGAGCAGCATCCAGAGAGAGGTATGTCTACAGTGGCAAGATGTTATCACAATATCTCTAACATCCAAGAGACAAGGTTACCCTTTGCACTTGATGAAGTTAGAAATACAAAGTGGCCAGGAAGCTTTCAAAGGGATTCTCAACCTACAAATCAACCACTGGAACAACAAAAGCTTGACTTGAGTCTCAGGCTTTAGTAAGTTAAACCATAACATGCCATCTCCAGAACAGGTAATTGTACTTCTGTTCAGCTCAGATTTCCTCATGAATCAATTATGAAAAACTAAGTTGTTTGGGTATCATCTTGTCATTTATACTTGATTTCCAAGTCAAACATTAGATATCATGATGCAACAGAAAGTGTTAGGTGTCGTCCTTTTGCTGAATATAGTGCTTATTGGTTGCTACCACGTGTTATATTTCAAACCCACCAATGGCATCAGAGAATGTGGCTTTCATTATTAAACTCGTTTTGATCAGTAAAAAACAATTTCATATCCTCCTTAAGTTCTCTCTGAGTTCAACTCTGATGTTATATACTAGGAATTGAGTCTTGCAATACTGGTATAAATCAAGGTTATCTCATGCAAGAGTCACACAAAAGAACTCTGAAATTAGCAGCACAAAGGGAAAGGAATGTCTAATATACACAAATCTTATTGTTAATAGTAATGGTTTGCAGTTCAAGAACAAGAATATTATGTTGTTGTTCAACAATCAAAACAATTAATATCATTTTTACACATTCTAGTGAACTTCTGGTTTTCAGCCAAAAAATTTGCATAATTTAATAAATGCAACAGGTGAGATTGTTTACAGATAAGTGTGAAATCCTACTGATCTGTGTCTGATAGCAGCACCGGAAAGCATACTTCTAGTTGTGTTCATGACTTCATTCTACTAGCAGCCTCAAGTAGTTCTTTCAATTACTAGGTAGAAACAAAGGAAAAATTATATCATTAATACTCTCACCATACGCTTCCTCTCTGTCCATGTCTTAATGAGAAAAGGCACCTTTCTCTACTTCAATTTTTGACCCGAGCAAGAACGTGATCGACACAACCAAATCAGCACTGAAGGATAGCAGGAAAAGCTAGATCATATTATCCAATTTCACACGTATACTTGCAATGAATAGAAAAAATGTGAAAGAGCACTGACTTTTGGCATCTGGAATTCCATCTACCTTGTAGGTTTCTACCAAATTAACACCAAATGCAACACAAAAACCTGTGTCAAAGCCAGCATACGAACATTAAATATGACTAATAAGGGCAGACAGTCAGACAAGACTTTTGCTTCCATAATTGTCAGGTCAGGGGTGGATCAAACATATGCAGTTTTATCACTGAATACGGTGATTTAAGACCATTACAGCAAGATCCTTATATTGCATGGCAAGTCTCAGTTAAAGGCTAGCAAGTTTGTGCCATTAGCACAACACGATAAGCTATTATGCTGACACAAGGGTACCGGAGGAAGCTAAGAAAAAAGAGAAGAGAGAAAGGGAACAAGAAGTGAAAAAAGAAAAAGAAAAAGGGAAAATTAAATAAAAGAAAGAAAAAGAGAGAGGCTTTAGCTAAGGTTTTAAATCTCAACTATACCAGTTGATACAGACCAGTATTTATTGGTTCAACCATGTGTCGAAACATATAGTTTAATACCGGTAGAATAATACTCATTTTTTATTTTCTATTCAATGATATCAGTGATAGAGATCAGTATACCACTCACTATACTGGTACCGTATTGGTCCAAGAGGTTATCTGAATTGATATTATTTTGAGATTTAAATCCTTATGTTTAACTCACCTAAACTTCTTCTCCATTGGAGTCACCCTCTCTAGCATCTCGATTCCATCACTCCCTTGATGGTTAGCTTCTCCTTTCATCCATCACGCTCAGAGCATAGTAAGGTAATTGATTGCTCAAGTCTTGACAATTTGATCCCTCTACAAGTAAATTTGTAATGGTAAATGCATCTTGGTTTGGTTATGAACCAGCATTTAATCTACTTCTAGTGTTTGAAATTTTTTTAAGCTTTTTGAAGGAAACTACCATGTTTCTGTTCTGCTTCTGAGCTGCACCCAAATCCACCCTCTAATTTTCATCTTTGGGGCAGGTATGTTAAAGCTTCTTCTTATACACAGTGTTGAAAGGACAGAGGCACAATAATATGATATGGATGAGGGTCCAAATGTTCTACTTGGCAAGGAGAAGAGAAAAGATATATGGAAACAAACAGGAGAAGAAAAAAAAAATCATAATACTTATGTTGCAATTTTGTGAAAAATCAAATACTGGAAGTGCAACAGAAGCCTAAGTCACTGAACAATATTCCAAAATGTGGTCTATCAGTATCTAGCAGTAGACACAGCTCCATATACCTTTGTGGTCATATGAATGCCTCACATAAGGCCATGTGGCATTATTGTTATAATGTGAAACCTATCATGAATGTGAGGCTGGTATAAGCATGAAAATGAAATCACATATGTGGTTTACATTTCCACCTAATAAGTATCATTTTGGTTAATACTATAATTTTTGGCTAATATTATAAGTGATCCATAATTAGATGATATTCATAATTTATACTTTTACTCATTTCCTATAATTCATCATTTTAATCGATTCTTAAGTGAATGTCAATGTCATAGCAATATAGCATAATATTTTCTAATTTGGCCTTATCATATGTTTACCTATTAATACTTTATATTTGATTGTATAATTCTTTATATATACTTAATTAAATATTATCTTAAATTTTTAGTTGAACACATATGCAGCCACATATGTCATGAGCACCAAGATAGACCTTGATCTTTCACATAACTATGGCTGCTTTTTGAACATTAAGCCTTACAAACATAAAAAGAACCAATTGTTATAGTTCTAAAGCCTTTAGATATTGTAATGGTAAAATTAAAGAGTTCTATAAGCCTTTGAATCATTGTCAAGTGAATATGTATCTGACATGATTTCTAAGTCTGAACGTTAGAGTCCATGTAACACAAATACATTTCAAAATCAAATAGCCCAAAAAATGAGCTCATGCCCATGAAAGAAAACATATATGAGAACACAAATTTCATGAAGGAAAAAAGAATAAGGCATTGCACTTTGCACATAATATGTTAACTAAAGGTTAAAACATGGTAACACTAATCATAGCCTTTAGTCCCTAAATAAAATAAATTATTTGTTGTTCCATGCATCACACTTAAGAACTAAAATAAGAATCACACTGTATGTTGGATCTCCTTAAGATTTTTGGTGCTGGCAAAAATTGTATTCTGCAGTTCTCGCACAAAAACTTGAGATCCCTAGCAGGAGCATCTAGTCATTTCCCATAAGGAGTTTTAGGTCCTCATATCATCTTAGAGATCATATTTGCTTCTCCACTACCTTAACCATTTAATAACCTTAAACAAGCCCCTCTTTTATTTCTCTTTATTTTCTATCAAAGAATGTCACATGAAAAGGTCACATTTTGCAGTAGGCTATAAAGTTTCCTTCTCTTTTATATTATTTCATCTGTTATGCTTCACTAATCTCACATATCAATAAATAAAATATCAGTTTAATATAAAAATATGCGTCTTGCAAACCAAATAATTTTAAAATATTTTTCTGCATCATAAATAAAACATTAGAAACATAAATGTTCTAAGTCAACCCACATATTACTGTGGACTATGGAGTACGGATGAAGATTGAGGTGCCAGGTGACGACATTTCACATTCAAACACAAACAAGATGAGTCTAAAACCTCAACCTCCTGGAATTGCACAAGAGTGACTAGTGACTGTGTGATTTGTCGAAATGGAGTTGAATATTCAGAGGTTTGTAAGGATCAATGTATTAACATTCTGGAATTGCACAAGTAAGAAAGGCATATTACAGTGTGGCATATTTCACAAGTGATAATCATAAATCAAGGAAAGAGCAAAAGAAAACTAATAGGAGAGTATACCTTAAGTTCTGGAGTCAGCCACTAATGCTAAGAATTTCGACATTACAAAACCAGAAACCGGAGATGCCTTGAGCTATCCGGCTTAATTAGACCCAAATTTCATCAAGACGAGAATAACAGAAGATCTCCACGATGATTACATGCTGATTATACCTAGTAACTTATAATTTTCATTTTAGTGGGAGTTATTTTCTTTACATTTAATGCGAACCCTTCCCAGGCAAAAGAACCCCCCCACCCCAACTCGATGCGATAATCGAGTGGTCTGTTTCCCTTGGGTTCCACCAAAAAAAGGGAAATAATCATGAACTTTTCTCAATCGGAAATAAACAGAGATTGAACTTCTATCACGAAAACTCAAAACCTGAAATGCAGAGACCTCGTATCCATGAAAAGCTGGAATCTTTGACATCGGAATGGAAGTTAAAGTTGGAGGGGACGTCCAAACGAGGCGCTTTTCGCGATTCCTTCTCCTACTCGGTATTGGATCCTTGCTGTTCTGGAACTGAAGGGAAGAAGTGCAATTCAGACGGGAAGCGGCAGTGGCGGAGAGGCATGAGACCATAGCCAAGCCCTTGTCATTCTACTTCCGGCTCTCGTACAGGGAGACGGCGGCCGAGCTTGCATGGTGGTATTTCTCATTTTCCCTTCCGTGGTGGGTGGGGCTTCAGATCGGGCCGGTCAACCCCATCCCAAGCCAGCCCAAGTCGAACTCACGCTTCGAATCCCTACGATGCTCTCGCGGTCACGTGTAAAAAGAAAAGCGATCTTGGAATCCCAAAGTCGACAACAGAATTCGATGATTTCAGTTACACGTCCCCTGCAGCGCATCCTTAGCCGTAGGATTAATCCAGCTCCTGTTCGTCTGCAATGGTCAGTGCAAGAGCAGCATACAAATCGGTTCGGCAACTTAAACAGCGGGTGGGGCCCATCCCCCACCGTGTGTTGTCGGCAGTAGATCAAATTAACCTCGCAGCTCATCCAATGTTTCCAATCCCACCCTTCGTTCTCCTCCTTCCCACCCAAGTACTGCAGTTGTACCGGTCGCTCTTCCCTCCTCGCTCGTCTCTCCGTCCCGCCCTCTCTTTTGTCCGCTTAGATCTCTATTCTTCTTTGCAAATCCCTGGGGAAGTTGTATAACATTCCAGTCTCTCAAAATCCTCGACGAACAACGGCTTCTCGGCCGTAGTTGCGCCTACAAATCGCGCTTTTAAGTTCATTCTGCAGACCAAGCTTCGCAGGTAAGTCCATGGAGAAGGAGCAGGGTTTCTTCTCGGCTCTGAAGGAGGAAGTGGTACGGGGGTTGTCTCCTGCACGGTTGCGGGAGAGAAGCTCGGTGAGGGGCCAGTCACCGGTGGCGGAGGCCGCAGCGATACTCCTGCCGCGGCGGAGGAAGGCTCATGGTCGCCACTCGTCGCTGACGCTGGCCCCGGACGCTGCCGTGCTGGTTGCGAGGTCCGTGAGCTTTCGGGAGACCCTTGCCCCCCTCATGGAGGGCCCCGACGATGGAGGCGACGGAGACGTCGGTGGCGGCCAGAGGAAGGAAGGGTGGGGCCGCTGGGTGCGGGACCAGCTGTCACGGGCCCCCTCCGTCACGTATTTGCCTTCCGCCGCCGCTAGCGCGTCCACCTCGTTCCGCCGCTCCGACCTCCGCCTCCTTCTCGGAGTCATGGGTGCGCCGCTCGCCCCCGTTCATGTCAACTCTGCCGACCTTCTGCCTCACCTCACCATCAAGGATGCTCCCATTGTAAGCTTCGCCTTCTTTTTCTTCCTCCTTTACTCTGTTTACATCGCTCTTTCGGCTCCATTCTTCCGTTCCTGGGCAAAATCTACTTCTTTTTGGTACTCGCTATATCAGAACATTAATGGGGTTTTCAGTTTGGTGCTCTCCGATCCCTGGATTTCTTTCCTCGTTCGTTGATACCAAATTCAACATTTTTGGAAGAAAAGCTACAAATGTATAGCCCACCCGCATGTGTCTATGACCTCTGTAGTTCCTGGCATGTTTATGCATTTCATTCGACATCGATGCATCTGTTCCTTTTGGACTCAGTTTATTGTCGTCTATACTTCTTTTTAGGAAGTCTCGTCGGCTCAGTACATACTGCAGCAGTACACGGCGGCCTCGGGGGGTCTGAAGCTCCAGAGATCCATCCACAACGCCTACGCCATGGGGAAGTTGAGAATGGCAGCGTCCGAGTTCGAGACAGCGACTAAAATCGTGAAGAACCGTGGCAGCTCATCGCACTCCCCCGAGTCTGGTGGCTTCGTCCTCTGGCAGATGGCCCCAGGAATGTGGTACGTGGAGCTCGCCGTCGGCGGCAGCAAGGTCCACGCCGGCTCCAATGGCAAGGTCGTATGGCGTCACACCCCCTGGCTCGGCGCCCATGCCGCCAAAGGCCCCGTTCGGCCCCTCCGCCGTGCCCTCCAGGTACAGGAACACTTCAATTTATAACATTGGATGCGCTTACGTCTCACATCGTCTAGTAATTCTGGAATTGCTCGAGAAAGACGCTATCTTTCGATTAATTCTGAGGCAATTTTGCAAGTAGGGTCTTGATCCATTGACCACAGCAAGCATGTTTGCCAATGCACGTTGTATTGGGGAAAAGAAAGTCAATGGGGAGGATTGCTTCATTCTCAAGCTCTGTGCCGACCCACAGACGCTGAAAGCTCGGAGTGAAGGTCCTGCAGAGATCATTCGGCACGTCTTGTTCGGCTGCTTCAGTCAGCGGACCGGGCTTCTCGTCCACATGGAAGATTCACACTTGACTAGAATCCAAGCCAATGCCGGAGGTGATGCAGTGTACTGGGAGACCACCATTAACTCCTTCCTCAGCGACTACCGCCCCGTTGAAGGTATAATGGTTGCCCATTCGGGTCGTTCCGATGTCACTCTCTTCAGGTTCGATGAGACGGCAATGAGCCATACTAAAACTAGGATGGAGGAGGAGTGGAAGATCGAGGAAGTGGTCTTTAATGTCCCCGGCCTCTCCATGGACTGCTTCATTCCTCCTGCTGACATAAGCTGCGGTTCAGTCAGTGAAACTTGTGAGCTTCCTCGTGGGGATAGAGGGAAGACCGGTATTGCACACCAGAGAAAGGTTGCAGCTGTTGGGAAGCCACAAGATGCGAGTGATAAGATCATTTGGAGGGTCAAAGTTTAGTAGTGTTAGGGCCATGAACAAGGCGCTGATGCTATTGTTCATATCACCACATTTTCTTGCGCTTACAACAAAGTATAAGTTATTTGATGCAAAGTATTGTTCATAGGTAATAGGGGATGTCCTATGTATATAAGAGCATAATTGTTCACAGGTCTTAATTCTCATCGGCCTGGCTGAATACTTATACTCTGATTGCAGTAAGTGTCTTAGGATTGGTAAGATTGAATTGGGAGAGATGCTTTCTTCCTATATTCTCAGGTTCAACTACATTGTCGCTATTATGCCTTTCTGCTTTTTGATTCTGATACTGACTTGGATTTTGGAATTCCAGTGTCCAGATCTGCTTTCAAATTTGAGATATTTAAGGCTTAAACTTTTCTGTCTTCAATCTCTTCAATCTTCAGGATGATCATGCAAGGACTGGCACCTTCAAATTATAGTTTAATTATTGGTCGAGTAATTCAAATCTATAGATGTTATGTAGTTCTCCACAGATACTAGAACTCCATGTCAATTGTATTCAGAGATCTTCTAAGGTTGTGTACTTCTGCTAGATCTACTGGGAGAAGTTTTAATTAGCTCATAAATCAACTTCAATTACATGTAAGTCTCTTTACCTTTGTGTGTAATTTATATTGATCTCTAATTTCCAGGCCTTGTGTCTCATGCTTTGATCATCCTTCTCTCTGATGGTCTAATCTTTCTCTTGTTGTGGGACAGCACCTGAGAGTGTTGGTCACTGGAAAAGAGGTCCACAGGTCATGTCCAGATGGTGCCTTGGGAATGGTGGCATTTACCGGTCTTTATTTACCTTTGTTGACCAAGACCCAGAACCTTGTGCTTTGCCTTGGGCCAGGGTAATGTAAAAAGCATCATTGCATCAAGGACATGAGGATCTCAAGGCCATGTGGTATCCCATCTCATTCATTGCCTTGTTATTTTTCACCCAGATCTTTAGGTGAATCTGATATGTTCACTACCTCTGCAGATGCTGTCCATCTCCTCCCTAATCTGACCATATGAGATGCCTCATATTTGTTCCACTGGGGGGATCTTGCACTTCTTGATGCTTCAAGGTGAAACTTCTCCCAGAAATAATATCATTGATGACCAGAAAGAGGATTGTAATTAAGGAAAATAACATATTGCATCAAAGATGTGAACTTGATGACAAAGATGCACAATTTCGTCAGCATTCTATAACAAGATCAATGTAGAGGACATTTATTAACAATAGTAATATGGATCTTAACACATGAACTGTCTAGTTTTTTTACATTACCTCTGTGAAATTTAGCTATTATATCTAATTTGGTATTTATTATGGTGCAGCTGATTCTTTTATCTCCTAATCAGTGGGTCTACACAAAATTCTGCAATATTCAGGTCTGATATGTGTTCAATACTGTCTGAATCAAGCATTACAGATTGATGTGGGAGTTACTGATTGGCCTTGCCCTCAATCAAGCTTAACTTGTTTATTAGATAGATGGGACCCGGACACAATTATGAAGGATGTTTTCTGCTTGAATCCAAATTGACAAGAATCATTTGCTTCAGATTTGATAAGACTCACCTAAACTAATGAGCATTTTGTTTTCCAATGACTATAAATTTATTACTTTTGTTCTTTTTACATCTTAAAGTAACAACTTTAGCATGTGTAGACAACAACTGTTACTATCAAACAATGCTTGTCTTTTTAGCTGCATTAAACATGTAGGCCACACAGGGTTTATGCCTCCTGTATTAACCTGCAGCCTTCACATGCATATTCCTCTGAAGTTTAATTTCTTTCTTTTTTTATTGTTGAATTTTCAGGTATTTTGATTCTTTTGAGCTCATGCCAGTCCCATGATCATACTGACACAAGTGAGTACCCATCTTCTAGTCTTCCAAGGAGTCAAAGTTACAATCACCAAGCATGTACTGGAAAACCCAAAAAGAAAAAACTACAGAAGAAGAATAAAATACAATGGTAATGCCCAAGTGCCCAAGTACCAGTTAAAATGTATATAATTGGTAGCGTGGTATCAGCCTATTAGCATTTTGTAGCTACTGACATATCACACTGATTCAGTCCCGGTGAACTTTTCAGCCATCTTTGACAGGCATTAATATTGCCACCTATATCCCCATGTGCTTCGTCCTCCCACAGTTGCACAAAATGAATGACACAGGAAAACAATGTAGGCAGATAAAGTTTACCCTCCATCGAACAAAGCATACAGTCCTGCAATGTATCGAGGTACTCAACTATTTGTGCAGATCACTGCAACCAAATTAAAGCCAAAAAAAGAGAAGCTAAGATTTGTTCGTTTGACAGTGTTGAAGAAATTGACACTGATGGGAATGCTCGTCTTTATCCTGGGACATACAGTAGCAAATTAATGTGCGACCAACTCCCTTTGAGATCCGACCATGTTGGTCTCATTGTCATTGTATTTTCTTTCTTCTTTGGTTCTTGTGGGGAGTTCTTGATTGGACTTTGATGTTGACAGGGAACTGTTACGGATACTAAGCTGCAAGTCTCACACCCAACACTGATGTTTTCTTGAAGATCAATGAGGCAGATCAGCTTATAGGATTTGGGTGTTCATCAGACAACAACTGAAACTTTTGAGTTGATCGGGAGTTGGAAGGTAGGAGACACGAGTGCGAGGAAGATTGCGAGTCTCCCTGAGCTAGAAAAGATCCTTGATGTGCTGCGATGAGAGTGAGCTTCATCCGATCAAGGGTCTAGAAATTTCAACGCCATACACACACTTCTGTTGATACCGAGATTATGGACAGGAAACGCAAGGTGGAAGATAAGTAGAAGATACAGACAAGACGTATGAACTGTTTTCCCTGCAAAGTTTCGGTGGCTATTGCTTCTGCTGATCGAAATCCTTGTACTAGCAGTGACTGATATCTGTTAAGCTGAGACATCCTCTGCTTCTGCAGCCCATCTTAAGCTAATGTAAGTTGATGTGCATGCCTCTATTCTCAGAAGATTGGTGCCATCTACCTTATAATACTGAATAATTTGTCAAAACATCCATCATCATCATCATCATCTGTTAGACTGTGTTCAGAAATAAACATAGTGCACTAATTCTAATGAAAATGGACAGCATAATTGTAAGGGAATTGAAGTTTTTATCCATGAGCAAACTTGGAATTGAAGGTTTGTTTTGCTAATGATGCTCAAGTGCATTAACATAGATTAGAGTTCTGCTTACCTTGGAGAATAAAGAGAAGAAATGTAGCTTACTTCTTGGGGTTGGGGTTGGGGTTGTCCTCTTCCTTACCACATTCATGCTCACATTTTTCTTGACCATCAAGAAGCAAGAGAAGAAATAATAATAATAAACAATTATCTTTTATTTTCCCTTTTCAGTTCTTTTGAAAGAAGAAAATAAGTAAGAAATATTAACGGGACAAAGGAATGCTCATATAAATCAAAGATAGTTATGTTCATCTTTTTCTTGACTAGATAAGATGGATCAAACTCTTGTATTTACTTATCAAAAAGCCATCATATGATAAGACAATGATCACCAAGATCAAGATTTACTTATCTTTTTCATACCTTTTGTTAGTCTAATTCTCGATCTTGAATATGATAATATGATAAGATAATCTTATAATTTGATTTTTTTCTTTATATCCCAATTAGTCTCACATCGAAAGTTGACACAATTAAGATTGACTTATAAAGATTCTATTGAGTGTATTATTATTAATTTTAATTTAAGTATTTTGATTAATGATTTGAGTCAAACGAAATTGATATTTATCTCGTTACCACATTCATGCTCACATTTTTCTTGACCATCAAGAAGCAAGAGAAGAAAAAAAAAATAAACAATTATCTTTTATTTTCCCTTTTCAGTTCTTTTGAAAGAAGAAAATAAGTAAGAAATATTAACGAGACAAAGGAATGCTCATGTAAATCAAAGATAGTTATGTTCATCTTTTTCTTGACTAGATAAGATTTACTTATCAAAAAGCCATCATATGATAAGACAATGATCATCAAGATCAAGATTTACTTATCTTTTTCATACCTCTTGTTAGTCTAATTCTCGATCTTGAAAATGATAATATGACAAGATAATCTTATAATTTGATTTTTTTTTCTTTATACTCCAATTAGTCTCATATCGAACGAAAGTTGACACAATTAAGATTGACTTATAAAAGTCCTATGAGTATATTATTATTAATTTTAATTTAAATATTTTGATTAATGATTTGAGTCAAACGAAATTAATATTTATTATTAGAGTTAATTGTAACATCAATTATAAGGGTCCATATATTTATTTGATAGGTTAGTTAATCCATATTTTTTTAATAAATATATTTTTTTAATCCATATATTTATTTGATTAATAAATATATATATATTTTTAAAAAGTTATCCTTTTATAAATATGAATCATCTATTATTTGTCATATGTTCTCTACAATTCTCTAAAAGAAAATTATGCCCTTTATTGTCTTTTAATTCTCCTAACAGTGCAATGTTTATACAAAATTTCTCCACTTTTCAAAAAAGAGACCAAATCGATTCATCTAAACCAATCAATTTGTTTTGCTGATGATTCCCAAGTCAATCCTCATTGCTCATTAATCCTTAATATGGGTTTAGACTAATAATCGATCATCACCCGATGCGATGAGAGTTAGCACAACTCAGAAAACATTCAGATAATTATTTACAGTATAAAACACATCCCCGTGGCTCTGCAGCATTCATCATCACTACATATTTGCTCACAATCAACAAAAAGGAAAACTTGATGCTACGGTGATTATTTTGTTCACATAGTTTCACAACAATCTTGTGAAAAGTTTGGAATCTCTTTGAGCCGATCGACAAGGTTTGTGTTCAGCATCCGATCGGCAAGGTTTGTGTTCAGCATCCGATGCTCGTCTTGGAAGAACATTTGGCGACTAGTTTTCCATCTCAAACATAAAAGAGGACTGTCAACATGAGAGAAATTACAGTAAGACAAACAACTATAGATGGGCGTTCTGCTTACCTTCAGAGATAAAGAAGAAACGTAGCTTAATTCTTAGGGTTGTCCTCTTTTTTACCATACTTTTCATGCCTTACCGATGCACATAAAACCATTTTATGTTCATCTTTTTCTTGCCTTTCGAGAGGCAACATGGAATCAAACTCTAAACCTCAAAAACCATCATGTAGTAAAATAAAGAATCAAGACTCATGACTTGATTCCTTCTTAACACAATAATTGATAGAGGCTTGGTTCTTTCAAATTTGGGAACACAATTTATAGTCCAAATCACTCTCTAATTCATTGTATATGGAGATTCAGATATTATATATATATATATGGAATATCTATTACTATATCAAAACGGAGCACAAATTGCCTCTAGCATTGGAGCAAAACAAAGCATGTAATCAAGAAGGCCACTCCCCTCTTTAAAAAATAATAATAATGAGATTAGTCAAATAATAATAATGAGATTAGTCAACCAATTCATAGTCATATTGGAGATCAAATGATGGGCAAAGACACGTGCATGCATGCAAGGATACGTAGCACAAGGGTGAGCAAATCCTTGTTTTAATCCTAACTTTCATCCATATAGAAAGCATTTAAGGAGTAATATACTTTATTTAAAAAGCAAATTTAATCATGATAATTTTTCTAAATGGTAAACCAAGAAAATTTTATTATAATGTTACCATACACACAATTGTTATTTTTGGTTTGAAGTTATAATGAGTTATTTATGATGATAATATCGGTTGAAAATTTCACGATGACCTTTTGATATGAAGATGAAAATATTATTTCCTTTTTCTTCTTTTCGGGAGTCCAACAAAACATGAAGAAAATGATGTGTTATGTAATTAAACTTTGCTCGAATGGTTGGGCCTCAATTTGCCATCATTTAAACGAACTCATGCACTTAATGATAAGTTTTCAACGATAAAACATGGCTTAGCCTCTCTTCCATGGTAAAGAGCTTAGATATTATTTTTAAGGTGATTGGGACCAATCATGTATATCTTTCTTACTTCAAGTGAAATGTCGTAAAGCCATCAATTGTCTTAGAAATCCTATGGGTTTACACCACAATAGAGACTTAGTGATTGACATTCAAATGCCTAGAATAAAGAGATTTATATTGTTTTGATACAACGGATAAGATTGCTCCTTTCTGACTTGGAGATTAGGGTTTAACTCTTGAAAATAATATTTATTGACCCTTGAGAGCATCATGCACTGAATTTAACTTTCTAGAGATGAAAAAAAAGGAAAAAAAAAAAAACTTCTTAGAGATAAGCTTTTACAACATCATCACCACTTTTGCTGATGCTGAGATTAGTAGTCTTCCCCTTGCAAATCTTTGGTGCTTGTTACTTTGTTCTCCTTAGCATAGGACGCAGAATTATCCTATAACTACATTTTGTGAAATGGATAGGAAATATGAAACCAATTAACATCGAGTACATACTTTCAGCTTGGGCTAATACATGTTGATGTTTACATCCTCATAAGTTGCCATTGGTGATGTCACACTAGCACTATACAAGTTGCCATTGCTTTTATCATCATTCATCAACCTGTGTTTAGAGAAGAAGAATGAAATCCTTGCTAGTTTCAGAACCATCTAACTTTGTATTGAAATGGACAATAAAATGGACCACATGAAATGATGGATCCTTGTTGTAACTTCGGACCAAGTACAAATGAAATGATTGATACATGTTGTGAGTCATAATTTACATGAGAGAGCACAAAGCACCAACACTTTGCAATATCCAAATACATATTTGCTCCAATCGAATCGACTAAATCTTGATAGTCATGTGACATATCTCGGAAGACAATCTCCTGAGCCTTCCTGTTTTCTTCCAGCTACAAAACATGGAAGACTATTATTAGCATAAGATCATAATAAGGGTAGAGCTAAAGCTGATGGAAATCGTACAAGGGAATTTTACTTACATTATGGCCCCTTCAGGAATTTCCTAGGGGACATTATATTAGTTAATCTCTTTTCTCTTGAAAACAGAAAGATGCTGGAAGAAGAAGAAATTGAGTGCAAAATATTTATATACGAAAAAAAAACATATTCATAATAATAACTATAAAATATATTTAGGAGAAAGATTAAATTCAAAATAGTTTTTAAACATACTTTTCTTTCCCTTCATGATGGGTGAGATGGGATCAGACTTTGAACCTCAAAAATGGAGTGGTAGGACTCATCGTCGTAATTTCTCCTCTACCCTAAAATTAGGATGGAGATGGAGATGGAGATGGATTGAGGTTCTTCGAAAACATGGATGATTTATAGCCAAAATTTTTTTTTATTCATTGAACATGGTTAGTAAAGCAAATCTAGAAATAGATTTCTATTTGTCAGTAAATGAGGATCAATGTATATTAATAAAACATGCACCAATGTTTACGTAACCCTTATAACATGACAAGTTATTATATCGATAATTTATAATTCAAATTCCATCCATCGACTAATAAGATCATTTAATTTCTAAAAAGATTAAAGTTCTCAACATATGTTTTCCAAATATTCAAAGCTACCCAATTGTATTTGTTCATAGATATATCTATCATCCTCCTTATATGTTTTTTTTTTCTTTTCATCTCTATTATTCTCTTTCATTATACCAAAAAAATTATTTTATAATATTATATGTATTATTTTTACGGTTTTAAAAATATTAGATTTTTCACTTAGACTAGTAATTCGACGATCTTTATTTCTTTTTGAGGTCCACCTAAAATAACAAAACAGTGCAAGAAACAATTTAGATATCTAACAATATGACGCATATAATACTTGGCTTTAATAATTTGTTAAAATTATTTTAAATTATAATTAAATTTATTTTAATATTCAACATCTTAGACACCAATATTTAAGATGATTGTACATTTACAGGAGAAAGCACAAAGCATCGACGCTTGACATGTTTATCGAGTACAAAGAAGAGGTGGATACTGCTGCTGCAAAGAGTCAGAAAGCTCGAGTGCGTCTTTGCCTTGCCTTTCTTGGATTAGTCCAAAGTGCTTCAGGATGAGGATTTATATGTCTAAATCCAACCAATACTGTTGACTAGGGTAATAATGGCGATAAGACTCGGGTGACGTTAGCTGCCCCAGATGATGTCTCACGCCCCTGTTGACCTGACAGCTCCTGGTCAACGCGGATCGGAACGCCGACCAAGGCACATTAAACACCCTGCTCAGGCTCGATCCCTCACGCCACGCCAACATCAATGTCAGACGCTACCAAAAGTATAATCCTGCTCCCTGGGGGCAGGCACATCAGGCAACGGTAATCCTCACTATAAAAATCCTCGCGCTCCGAGGAAATGAAGAAGAAAAGGTGAAAAGAAGAACAACATAATAAACCCCGTTCACTAATTTGATCGTCGGAGGGGTCGGGCCGAGTTCTCCCGACCCGACCTTTGTGCAGGTGCGAAGGCGGAGGTCTCCCACTAAACGCCCAAGTGGGGAGTTCCTTCCTATGGGAAACAACGACCCCGTCTCGATCGGACCACCGCAATCGACCATAGCAGTCTCGAGGAAAATCCCAGAGAGATCCCCCATCATCCGGACCCGAATCAAGCCGCGTCGGCCCCGAGGCCTTGTTTACACCAACAACTGTCATGTAAGATGAGGATTTATATGTCTAAATCCAATTAAACTGGCTTTGTTAGCCACACAAACTACCCATCTTTTTGCCATCAGACTGCCCCCAATTGCCACGACATGTCAACTTCCAAGTCCCATTTGGCCATTGGATTCTGCGTTCTGGCAAACATGATGGATCTGCTGCTGTCCATTGTAAAGGTGGTGGTGCAACTTTAAGAACAAGACAGAGAGAGATCCACGTGCTTGGGATCAACAACAACTCATCCTTCTTTATGTTTTTGTTGTTGTCGAAGTCAACAAGAATTATCCTATACAGTGTTCTTAAAACCACCTTTTTCATTATTTATTTCCAACACTTGACGAGTTTCCAACTTCCAGAAATCTTTGATTGAGATTTGGGTCGAACCCTTAAATCTTTCCACCCCCAAAAAAGGAATAAATAAATCGAATTATATAGCCAAATAGCAATAACTCAAGAAAACACAGCAGGTATCGTACCACCCACGCGCCCAAACAATCCAACCAATCTCTCGAGACTGAGTTCGATCTGACCGACCGCTATAACCACCACGAGAACCATCCTCTTCTCCCTCATAAATATCTCTCTCTAAAGTAGCTGCTGCACCTCCTCAAGCTATCACCCAACCATGGGAGGAAACCCCCGAGTGTTCGACCTCTCCCATGTCGCCCTCCACACCACCAGGAACGATTGTTGGCTTGTCATCAATGGACAGGTCCTCTCTCTCTCTCTCTCTCACACACACACACACACACACGCACACACACACAACGATGACATGTTCTTGAGATCCTATGTGTATAGGTGATAGATGTGACAAAGTTCCTGGAAGAGCACCCGGGGGGGGAGGAGGTGCTGCTTGAGGCGTGCGGCAAGGACGCGACCAAAGAGTTCGAGGCCATCGGGCACAGCAAGGCAGCATACGGCCTTCTGCTCAAGTACCAGGTGGGAGTAATGCGGGGCTTCAAGCACGCCGATGCTGCCCCTGCCGAGGATGACGCTGGAGAAGGCACCAAGGCACGAGCACATGTGATGACCGGTTCGGCCATCAAGGATGACAAAAAGATCAGATGCCTTGGGGCGATCGAGTTCGTATTGCCTCTCGTGGTTGCTTCCTTTGCTTTCTGGTATCGTTATTCTGCTGGCCTGACAGGGATGACCAAGTGAAGTTGAACCCCTTACTCGAATAAGTGCTCTTTGTCTCCCGGCAGAACATCTTGGAATCGTTGTGTCGTATCAGTGATGCTTTGTTTGGTTATCATCTACTTGTGGATTTAGATTGAAATTTAATCGAACAGTTTCAATATCCTCCACCAATATCTGTATACATTTCAATCTGGAACAGGGCAAGAACATGGAATATAAATATATCTACTCTGAGATTTAGTCTCAGGAACAGCACTGGACCGATGCACAGCTTCACATACAGTAATTGAAGTCGCGTTACCGATATGAAGCACAGCAAACTGTTTGATTTGGAGATATTAAGCGGATTATATATCCAAACACCCTGACTCAAATAAAGATCACGATTCCATGAGAAAGAACAATCCCAATGGTCTCCTTCTTTCAACTTATTTGCTGCTGCATTCAAAGAGAAGAGGAAGAGGAAAAAGAAAAAGGCTTAATAACAAGAATCTCTGTTTTGAAGACTTTTCTTGATCCCACCACAAGGATTTCAGAACCAAATACCGTCTCAAAGGAAGACACAGATAAACCACATTGTTGGACATCCATAAGTGCAGCCCTCGATCCAAAGTGTTTTATGCAATTAACAACCTGATTTCAGTGTCCAATGGGACTTGTAATTTGCCATTTCGTCATGAATTGATGATGATGGTCTCACTGCTATGAGAAGCAACGAACTTGCTCGTAAACTAAAATCATCATCCTCGAGAAAATTACAACCAGAATATGAACCTTGATTAGCTACTCGATAGCTTTCTGTCGACATGTATAAAACAGCACGCCGACCATCAAGGAAAAACAAAGATCCTGGAACAGGTTGGTATCGATTTAAATCATGAAAACAAACTGATTGTAGATAATGTTACGAGTACAAGCACTTTGTAGCATTACAAATCAATCTAAAATGTTTTACAGCGAAGAGCACAAAGAAGCCACTGAAACTAAAAGCAAGAGATCGTGTGATTCATTGTAGTTATGAAGAATCGGATTCTGTTCCTAAACTGCAATGTCATACCGTATGTGCCTTAGAAGAACAGGGATGACAATGTCTGGAGAACTAAGCTGGGGCAGATGGCCCTCGGAGGACATAACCTCGACGATTGACTCGCCCCCAAGGTTCCTGTGCAAGTACTCAGACACCACAACAGGGACTGCAAGATCCTTGCTGCTCTGCAGGATATGGCACGGTACCATAACAAGCCCAAGTATCTCCCTCAGGTCACTCTGGAAGATTGTCTGAGCCACACACAAGGCAATGTCAGGGCGAATGTTGAAAAGCGTTCTGCTGAACTCTTGGACTGCCACGGAGTCCATATCTCCGCCGACAGCTAGTGGTGCAAATCCAGAGACCCAAGCCTTGTAGTTCGATCTCATGGCATCAAAAAGTTGGTCCAATTCTTCCTGTTCAAAACCCCCAAAGTAGTCCACATCGTTCAAATACCTGCAAATTCAAAAAAGTAGACTGTTCAAGATATAATCACCGACCTGAACAATGAATTAGAAGAGTATGACTATCCATAAGCAGAAACAACAACATGCACTTAAGAATTGAATGCTGTGTCACGATGTTTTGAGCCCAGAATATTTAGCAACACAAACTCTTCAAAATTAAAAGTTATTCTTGAGTAATTAGGCTGCAAATCAGAAGAATCATGCATGTAGATGCTATTCTTTTGTTCATTATGGGGAACTTTAGCAACTCACAATTCAACTTTAAAAAGCCATAGTAATGTCTGCATCATAAAGTTCAATTTTTCTATAAAGCATGTAACCATCATGCAAACGCTATGCGCTTACAAGTTTCAGCTTGAGACCACAAAGCGCTTGGGTTCTTCAGGTTCAGTATGAATTTGGTAGACCACAAACCATAATGGTAATTGAAGTAGTCAAAAATTGGACTTTTGGTCATTTGTTGGTTCTTTGTCTAATCATCTCAATCCTCCAACAGCAGAACCCAAAATCTACATTAAATTTTATAACAGTGGAGGTCTGAATCATCTAACGTACTCCCCTGATTCAGATCACAAAAAATTAGGTCTAACATGTCCGTTCAAATCACTGGATCATTCCATCAAATTATAAATTTTTCATGTTCTCTCTGAGGTCTTCACTCCAAGAAAATTATATATATATATATATATTCTTGAATCTCAAAAAGAAGTTAGTCAATTAGCTGTTCCAGAGTCGTCCATCATTATTTCAGCCCCTTCTCCTGCTAGACTAAAGATCAAACTTCTCAAAGTACTATCTAAATTATGGAGATATCCAAGCAAGATATGGAATCCTCATGTTGAAGAATCCCAATATACAGTACCTTAGTTTAAGATCTTCTGAAAAAATTGGAATGACAAGAAACAAACCCTCACGCATCTTTTATTTCTTCTAAAAAATTGATTTTGTTCCACAATCCCACAAAGAAAATAGTAAACAAACCCTCACGCATCTTTTATTTCACCTAAAAATTTGATTTTGTTCCACAATCCCACAAAGAAAATAGTAAACAAACCCTCACGCATCTTTTATTTCACCTAAAAATTTGATTTTGTTCCACAATCCCACAAAGAAAGTTGTAAAGTAGGAGTTCCAGAAGCCTGTCTTCTTGATTCAATCGTCCTTGTGTCTTTCCCTCAAGAACACTCGTTTGGTACGGAGATATCCAAGCTAGAAGTGGAACTTCCATCATGAATAGTCCCAATTTACAAATGATGTGTTAATTTCATTCACAAGATTGCACAAACAAGCCGATCACCGTTAGAATTAGAGAAACAAGACGGAGGTACACCAGCATAATAGTCACGGATTAATTAGACAGTATGCGGCGGCCGCCGCCATCATAAGTTCCTCCCAAACTTTTCGCGGTGATATCAATTAGGTATAGTGTATGGTTGCGTAGGAAAAGAGACCCAACAAGAATAAAGAAGGTGGAAATACGATAAGGGGCGCACGCACACCTTGGGGAGGCGCTGAGCATGACGAGCTTGGAGAAGAGGTCGGGGCGGGAGATGGAGGCGATGGCGCCGATGGCGGCGGAGACGGAGTGACCGACGAAGATGCAGGGGCCGAGGCGGAGCTCCTCGAGGATGGCGAGGAGGTCGAGGGCGTAGCCCTCGAGGGTGGTGTAGCGGTCGAAGTCGAAGTAGTCGGGGTTGGTGGTGCCGGCACCCATGTTGTCGAAGAGCACCACCCGGTACTCCTCCACCAGGTGCGGCACCAGGTGCTTCCACACCGACTGGTCCGTCCCGAACCCATGCGCCAGCACGATGGTCCCCCGCTCCCCATCCGCTCGCCCGATCACCCTCAAGTTGTGCGCCTCCTCCACGATCCCCATCTGCTCTCCTCCTCTTCTGTTTCCCTCTTCCCTTCCCTCGCTACTATGGTACCCTCTTTACTCTTTCAGCTACCTAAGTATCTTCTTCTCGAATAGCAAATAGACCAAAAACCGCAATTTGTCTATGATTCATCATTCGACCACACGCATCGCCATCAGGACACGACTCCCTCGAGGAACAGGCGACGGTCGGTTTGGCTGCGTCGCACCGCACCGCACCGATCTGACGATGAGAGCCGCCAAGTGAGTGGGGGTGACATCTGGAACCCTACGGGTCCCACCGAGGGATCAACATTCCTCCAGCCGCGAGGCGGGTAGGTTCTGTCCACGTAAACAAAAATCTGGTGCCTGTGCACGGAGGAGGAGGAGGCAACGTGGAGCGTTCCGTGCCGTTCAGATCAGCGTGACTGAGATGAAGCCACGCGGTCGTCTTTCCCGTACCCATTTTCGTGAAACTCGAACTGGGCCCCCACCGCGTTTCGCGGCACGAACGAACGGCCCGATGTCTTTGAGGATGTGGATATCGTGATTAGATTGCGTCGAGTTGGGTTCCCTCGCACGTACCACCATGCGTGCCGATCCGGCACGTCGGTCGAGCCAGCAACGCCGTCCCGCTACCGGACCTCGCTCCGGGCCGGCCGTTTTAAGGACATGACATCCTTCTTATGATAAGACATTATGCTCATCGAGTGTCAGAGACCAAATGGGAGATACAAAGCTCGGTCAAGAAAAATCATTAGCACATATACATTAAAGAGGCAATTATACCGAATAAGACAAGTCGACGCAAGAAACGACAGGTCCTAAGACATCGGACCACTCACAGGAGAGACACGAGAGCCGCTGCTGTGCCAGACTGTAGTGGTTGGGCTGCTACGTCAATATTTAATTTGCGGCCCACTTGTGGAAATTAAATCTCCATTATTGATTGCCATATGAACAATAAGATAAGCATTCAAGGAAGCATCTTTCAGAACCACCAGCATTAGAGAGAGAGAGAGAGAGAGAGAGAGAGAGAGAATTTAACTTGAAATTTGATAGGATTCAATAATCTATATAGAAAAGACGAGGGAGAAATATAAGATAAAAAGACTTCCTACCTTATAGTCACTCTCAACCGTGTCATTTGGTGCGTCATCATTTGAATTTTCTAAGTAGATTATCGAATCATCTTCAACTCAGTTTCTGATTCCTAATTTTCTAGTGCGTCAACATTTGGAATCTTTCTAAGTACAACAACAAATCATTTTTTATTCGGTGTCTGATGAACCGTCCTCTATTTTTTTTTTCTTGAAAAATTAAAGAGTATTTTATCATTGTCATTTCTTTGATTTGAGTCCCACCGAAATGCTAATTTAAAGGGAGACATTTCCTCTATTACGGAGACATGCTAATTTAAAGGGTTCCTCATAACCAACTTGAACATTTCAGTACTCGGGAATGGCAGCATAAAATACTAAACAACATTTTGAGGAAAAATTTACCATCAAATAAAGGTCAGTGTTGTCTTTCACAGTATACATTTTGTAGTTAATCACCATCATGTTTAGTCTAATCAGTAAAATGGGTAACACTTTTTAAATTTAAATCCTTCCAATTCTTCAGCATTTAACTTGTAAAACCACATTCAACTTGAAAAGGCCATCACTCATAGCATCTACCACTAGTAAATTCCTTCCCTTGGCTAACTTCCCAAATTTACATTATCCAAGGATCACATGTGTGCCATGAAACCAACAATACACAGGCCAAATTTATTTTTAGAGATCAAGTCTAACAAATGAGCTGCAGATTGATTGCACAGTGAAACTGCTCCCAAAGTCTGCAGCAAATTTTGTCCAGAAAGTGTCAGCTTCAGTTTTGTACCACAGAATGCTGCAATTAAGAAAGCAGTGTTTAAGGAACCACTGAGCATATAAATTGCAAAACGATGCTTTAAAGAAACATAGTGTTTTGGGTGTCTGTGAGTGAAAATCTAAATATCCACATGCTTGGTTAGTGCATTGCTGCACAAATAATAAATAGATCTTAAGTTCGCATCATGTACATCGTTTAATATAATGAAATACTTTTTCAATTAAAAAAAACCTTTTTTCTTTCTTTTTATCTCTCCTTTTGGAAGGGACACCAGTTTTGTTAATAGGCCTCAAGTTCTCAAGCTTGGAATAAGACCCATTTGAATTTATTAAGCCCACTAAGAAGCTTTTGATAGTATTCATCATCATGCATTCAAAGTCAACATGCAAAATTGGCTGCAGAACATAAGAAAACTTTGTCTGGAAAAGGGTAAAAGCTTGAGTGTAAAATGCCTTCAGGTGACTCGGGTTATCTAAAAACACTATCCATGCTTACGAGGAGTCTAGAAAAGGTTCAACAAAGAAAGCAACATACAAGCCACCGCTGAAGCATCCAAGTCGCATGTACCAGATCCAAATACCATTGTGCAATCACTAGCCAATATACCGCACAAAAGTCACTGCACAAATGAGTTGAGCAATTGATGAAAAAGCAAGAAACTAAAATCATTATCAACAACAGTAAAATAACAATAAACCGTTATTTGGAGTCTGCTAATTGTCAACAAAAAAAAGAGAAGTATCTGCTTAATAAAAACAGACAAATCGCACAATTGATGATCCATTTGTTTAACAAGTATTCTAGCCCCTTTCTAAATATGACATTTCTAGTTCTAATAGCTTCATTAAGATCCTGTTTACTGATAAAGCACTATCAAATGCATACAAACCCAGGAATATGTATTCTCATAACAACTTCCTAAATAGCATAAAACAAGGAAGATGGATCTTAACCGATTTAGAAATAGAGATAGGTCGTCATCCAAAAGTGACGTGAGGCACCTTTACCACATAAGTGTCCCAAATTACGAATTGTGGGTTAGGTTGCGCAGAAGCAGCCCATCATATCAACACTCAGATGTGGTGCCAAGTAGGCAAAGGTTCTCTCATTGTTTTGGATCAATGGGGGTAAAGAATTTAATCCGAGAACAAAAAGTTAGATTAACAACTTGGAATATAGGAACACTTTTAGGGAAGAGATTAGAATCGATAAATACTATGATCAAAAGAAGAATAAATATTATTTGCTTACAAAATACTAAGGCAAAACTAGAGAGATTGATAATACTGGATTTAAAATTTGGTATATTGAAAAAGTTAAATACAAAAATGACATAGAAATTGTTGTTGATAAGGATCTTAGAAGATTATTGTAGATGTAAAAAGATTTGGAGATAAAACTATAGTTCTAAAGGTTATGAAAGGACAAGATGTTTTGAATATCCTTAGTGCTTATACCCCTCGAGTCGGATTGGATGATCAAACCAAAAGATAATTTTAGGAAAGCTTAGATGATATCATTCAAAGAATACTTATAACTGAAAATTTTATAATTGGAAGATATTTGAATAGTCATGTAAGGAAAATATATAATTAATATAAAGGGGTGCATGAGGCCTTTGGTTATAGAGAGAGAAATGAAGATGGTGGTATGATTTTGAATTTTGCAACTTTATATGATCTTATAATTGTAAATACTCACTTTAAGGAAAAAATATGAACATTTAATTAATTACAAGAGTGGTCAAAACTATAGTCAAATAGATTTTTTTTTACTAGAAAGGTAGATAAAATTAATTATAAGAATTGTAAAGTCATACCTAGCGAAAGTTTAACGAATTAACATAGTTTGAAGATATTATATATTTACTGTAGAAAATAGAAAATAAAAAGATAGTAAAAAAAGTTACTAGGATTAGATGGCGAAATTATAAAGATGATATAATATAAACATTGTTAAAATAAGATGAAAAGAGAGATAACTTGGAACTTAGATGAGGATAAAATTAATATTATTTTAACTACAATAGTTGATAAAATTAAGAGCTTAACAAAGGAGATTCCTGGTGAAACTAAATGTAAAGGTGTAACCTTAAGAAAAAGTTGGTGATAGTGTGAGGAAGTTCAAAAAATAATTTTTACTAAAAGATGATATTTTAAAGATTGATCATGGATACTTATGAGACTAAAAGAAAAATTTTATAAGACAGTTGTGAGACCAACAATACTTTATGGATCTGAGTGTTGGGCAATTAAGAAAAAACATATAAAAAATGTTTATGTTGCCAAGATAAGAATGCTGAGATGGATGTATGAAGTTATAAGAACTATAAAAAAAAAAATACACTTATTCGTGAACAACTAGGTACCGTTTCGATATAGAATAATATGAGAGAAAATTGTTTAAGATAGTATGGGCATTTGCTAAGAAGACCTCTGGATATGATAGTTAGAAGAAGTAAAATAATTGATACTAGTGGAACGAGGAGAGAGAGAGAAAGACAAAAAAAAACTTCAATAAAAACTATAAATAAATATCTAAGTACTATAAATTTAACTAAACATATGATTTTTTACCAATCTTAATAGCGATAAAAAATCCATGTAGCCGACCTCAAATAGTTGTGATATACAGTTTTGTTGTTGTTGTTGTTAATAATGATGTTTATGACAATCATAATTGACTAAAGTGGACAAAATTTTCAAATGATATACAAAGTAAATCACAACATAAAATATTAGTCTTTATACTTATGCTATTAAGTTAGTGAGATTTTAATATTATATTATATTTAAAACAAGCAATGCTTTCATAAATCCTGGGAGTGGGAGCATATCTAATCAAGGGCATTTCTTTTACGATAATAGGAAAGATCAAAACACTTATTTTTGCCTTAGTGACACCAATAATAGGTAAATTTGCTGGCTGGAATACATGTGTTGTCAATAAATTATGTTGCTGATGATGCACTTTAATAAATGCAAAATTGTAAATGTTTTGTGAAAATAAAAAATAATATGCATTCGAAACTATGAAGTAATGACAAGTCATAGTGCACAACTATTTGGGATCAGCAAATCTTAATCTATAGAGATTAAAATACAACTTCAATATGTTTGATGCTTTTTCCCCTTTTCTTGCTTTGATATGAGAATATATATAACAAAGTCCACTATGTAGGTCATCAATGATCTATCGAGTGATGTCTTCCACATATAATCATATTATTCATAAACTAGATTTTTAGAATTATTGAACTTGGTGAAGTCCGGATTTTTTTTTTTTTCGTTCCAATTTTTTTCATAATAGTCCAATTACCTATAATGTATTCTTAGTTTCTTAGATCAAAACAAGTGGCTAAATATTAAAAAATCCCATATAAGAAAATCCTAGTTAAAGTTTAAGATCACGAACTCATTTTAAGCAACAATCCAAGAGACAAACATGATTTTAATATGTATTACGTATATGTACTACAAACACATCACCGTGAAGTTAGGTTTTATCCTTTTCTTCATTTTCTTATGCACTTCCCTCCCTTTGTTTAGTACTCCATTGCAACGTAATCATTGCATATTTCCATTATTTTTTGATAGTTTTTATCATTATATCATTACTGATTTCTATGTCATAAACTCAAATTTTCTTCCTTTATCCAGTTCAACTCAATGCAGTCTGCTAGAACAATTAGAAAAACTCCTCATTGTGATCAATCCAATTGATAAATACAAAAAAAAACTAAAGAAATCAAAGAAACTCACCCATCAAGGTAACAGCAAGTGTTGCCCAAAGAATAATTTGGATAGGACGGCCATACTGAATTTGATACTGGGACCTTTGCAGTTGTCTCTGGAAAGCTCCAAGACACCCATAAAGCTGCTTATCATTAATATCCTCTCTACAGTATCTTAGGCAGCTCTTGCTTCTTCCGTAACATGCATTGATTTCCTATAGCAACAACCAAATTAGATGTTCTAAAGCAAACTGCACCTAACATCTAAAGCAATGAACATTGCGTAATTAAAGAAACACAACAGGATTTGCTTACCTGACCTAATTGATCATTTTTCAATGGGATGTATCCCACCAAACTATGTTGAAATCGACCTCTCCAATTCCCAAGTCCATTTCTAAGCCACCTCATCCTAGGTGTTGATTCCAAAGCGTCTGATAATGCAGCAGAACTAAAAATCGCTCGGGATACGAAATTAGGTCTATCATCGGGTAATCTCCCAGATGTATCCTCACCCTCATCAGGGATCCCAATGGCCCATGATCCAACATCAGTTGTGGCACATGATGCATGACCATGCAACCTCTCATCCCTGGTCTCCCGTCTACAAGACTCACTTGATTGGCAAGAGAAATTCTTCATACAGTCAATGGAAGCCTCTCCATTCATATCAACAGTACTGTTCCCGACTTCAACGCCACCAAACGAAGAAAACTTGGGCACATCTTCGGCTTGCAGTGGACCAGATAGAAAACGTGCAAGCTCATCCCTTTCTCCGTCATTCAAACGGACCCACGCGACAGCAGTCTCACCCAGCTCCAAATTGGACTGCCTCAAACAATCTTCCACCATGGATATCTGACTCCGAATAGCCACGATGAATTTGTCATGCCGAACTCTCGTGTCTTCTCCCGCTGAGCATGCATCATCATTCGATCTCACAGCCCGTTCCAATTCCTCGAGCTGCGTGATCAAGAAGGGGTGGATCAAAAATCTGATTTTGAACATATCCAGTTTCGCAGGAAACCCTAGGTAATGCAACCCAACATGGACCAGAAATCACCTGCCACTTTGCGGTCCCAAGAGCCGTGCGAAGCTCTCTACGGAGCTCGCCGGATGCGAATTCGACTCCCGTGGTAGCCTTTGCTGCGTTATTCCGCTCCTGGATGTACAAACGGTAAAGCGACTCCATCCTACAGATCGTGGAAGAAAAGAAACCGTAAAACTCCATCAAATTCAAGGAAGAAGAAAAGAAACCGACGGAAGATACAGTACCTATCGGCGGATTCCTGCACCTCATCGGCGGCGGAGAAGAAAGGATCCTTCTCCCATTGTTGGAAGCTCGCCGCCATTTCAAATCCTCCCCGAAATCAAAGGTCGAAGCGGCTCGAGACGAATATTGAAGGCCAGAAGAAATCCCAACCTCTAAAGGAAACAAAAACACGATCCGAACCAGCGCCGACCGCAATCCCCGAGCCGAAAGAATCCGGAGGTTCAGCTTTTGTAGCGATTTGGCTTTTCGGGAGTCCAAAAATGAAGTAATTCGATGACGCGGGAGGGGACGCGATCTTGACCAGCGGAAGAATTCATTCGATGTTGACTGTCGGATCTCGATCGGACGGTTTGTGAAGAGGGGCGTATCCCGACGTCGCGGGAACTTTCGACGAACGCATTCGGGATACGGTCAGCTAGTTTGGTTTGACCGGAATACAAGTGGCATTTGCTTCTAGATCCAACGTGTATTAGTTGGTGGTGGGACCCTGCCCACGTAATTGGATAACTTAATGCTACGTGCCTCGTCAAACCTTCTCACCTGACGCAGACTAGCGAACAAGTTGTGGTAGTGTGAACAACAGAAAGGTCAGGAGAAAATTTTGATTTCGAGAAAGGTCAAAGTTCGACGACCTCTGAACAACAGAAAGCAACTAAACGATCGCAGGGGCTCAAAACACAAATTCTGGAAATAAAGATGAGTACCATGCATTTCCATGTTTGAGTTGCATAATTCGTCAATAGCACTATGATGATGAGTGCTACAGAAGATAACGCACGCTCAATAAAATCGTGTTATAAGCACCACACGTCATCCGAGTACTACGGGTTGCGGTATAAATAACAGGTGCGCCAAATCAATATCATTAGCGGGATATTCTACAAGTTGCAGTTAAACTCGCCTGGACTTTTACTGGGTCCGCATTCTGCTATTCTCTGCAGCTCTCACTTGAAGAAAGTAGGGATGCGCCTGCACAAGAAAAAGAAACAAACATTAAGACAGACACCTATGTATGCAGTGTCATATAGAGTTTGGCAAGTAAGCCACAATCTGGCATTTATAGATAGATCAATCATATCCACTCCGCTGATTCTTTAGGAGTTGATTCACTGAACAATTCAATACAATTTCAAGTTCACTCAATCATACTTCTAAGAATGAGAGTTCTTCCAAATTACTTGCACCCTCATGTCCATTCTTTAGCTAGACTTATCACTGATTTTTTTTTTTTAATTCAGAATCTTCTATTGTCAAGTGATGATTATATTTTACTCGGTCCCTCCAAAAATTTTGGAAACTAAAATTCTCAAAGCAGAAGGAAAAGAATTAAATTAAGTTGCTTAATTGAAAATATGCTGCTGGTAGATGCTGATAAGTTTTATCACAAAGTTGGGCATCAGAAAGAGGGTTCTCAATTTGCAGAACAGTTCACTAGAAACTAAAGTAATATCATCACAAGAAATATGTGTTTAGAATTACTACCATTGCTTCCCGTGCTGTGAGCCTGTCCAGGTGATCATATCGAAGGAGTTTATCAAGAAAATCTATTGCCTGCATCCAATTTTCAGCCAGTGTCATGATGGAAGACTCGAATGGAATGACGGGGTATAAATGCATTGAGGATAATAAAAGCCAAAGGTAATTTCAAAAAGATGATGTGTACAGCATAGTAAAGCTTTAAACAGGGTGCAAAAAGAAACCTCAGGAGAAACAAGATGCTGATTGTCTGCATTGATAAATTTAGACCATGGTTTCCTGCTGTGTCTGCAGAACATAGAACAAGCATAAGATACTTTGTGAAAAATGCAGGATTTTAACCTTTTCATTAGAAGTGAAGTAACTCCCATATAGCCAATGATACCATGTCTGCATGAAAAAAAAAAGAACACAAACGTACCTCCCAACAAGAGCATCAAGCTGTGGATCAAGCTCTAAGCGGTACTTGTTTAGATATGCATTAAGTTCATCGGTACCAAGTACCTGGAAAAACAAAGAATCAACTCCAATCCAACCTATATCCATCCTCAACAAGAATACTATAATGCACAACAAATACTAATTATATTTCCACGTATAACTATCCATTTGTCTCCACTATGAATTATTAAATCATGTAACTCCATCCATCTTGAACTCCAATTTCCCCTCAGTACTGATGGAGCCAGATTTAATAAGGGTTTGGTCTACTGTGTTTTTCTTAAATTCCAACTTCAGGTAAAGTTGAGTCTAACTTGGATTTATTTTCAACTTAATGTTTTTCATCAAATTGTTGTGATTATTTATGCATGCTACAGTTGTGCTCCTACCTAAAATAGTTGGTGAGTCTATATAGAGACTCTGTGACAATTTGGCTGCACTGAGCACAAAGTGGGATGGGTGTAGACCATGGAAAACAGAAAGATCTGGTATCTAGGCGAGAAAGTGAAATCAGATAGGAACAACACTATTTTGAAATAGATTGTGATCCACGATGAACAAAATGACCATATCAAGACCTCCCAGTTGCATAATTTTAGTCAATCAGCTAAGTGTTGAGAATGAAGTTATAGGCTTCATTTTTTTTTCCAATTTAATATCTAGCTAATAGACATGCATGCCAATAGAAGAGATCTAAGACCATTGCAGTAAAATTGAGTTCCAATTCATAGAAAGATATTTCATGAAACCTAGTTGAGTGCAAATATATCATGGTCAGAAATAAATCATGGGTCAGACCGCTATACATTGGCACAAAACCTGTTCTGAGTCTAACTTTCCGGTGAAATTCCTTCCTGTAGATGCTCCAGGTAGAATTTCCCTTTCGAGATAAAATCAAAGCAGGATTTCAATTGATGAGAGAAGGGGAAAAAGGAAGAAAAGGATAGATCAGAGCAAAGATGGGTACAGTCCACCAGCAAAAAAGAACTTTATGTCCAAATAATTTCTCATCAAGCCCCCCTTTGTGTCGACCACTGAGCACCCCTTCTCTTTAAATTAATCTAACATCGGATGCAATTCAAATTATCTGTTGGAAATAACAGGCACAAAGAAGCTGGCAAATTAGATTTCAATTAGGACCTAATAAGCTAAACCAAGGGAAAAGCCAAGTAAATCCAATAAGATTAGGCATACAGATAATCAACTTGAAGTTCCACAGAAAATATAAAATAAGGTTAGCATGTATGTGCACTATGATTAAATTTTTCGATCAAGCTTCATACAAGGGTAGGCAGGCCAAACACTATCCCAATATCTGGCCCATGAGGTGTAATGCTGATCAAATAATGGATTGCATATGGTTATGTTCCCTTTCAACCAATAATAGAATCATTTTCAATACGAACTTTGCCACTACCACATCAAGGACAATAGACAAGGAAAAAGAAGATAGATAATTCTTGGTGTCATACAATCTTAATACAATTAAACCGATGTAGATTGAGATGGGGCACAACAACTCGCAAATGCCCAAATTTCTCTTGAGTATGTGTTTGAGGCCCCATAATCAATCAGATTCAAGTAAAGGTTTGCTTGGATCAGCTAGGATAAACAAATCCTGTTGATCATAGCCAGTCCCACCCATTGTGGCAGATATTCACCAAACTGAGTCAGACGATTATCAATCTTCCAAGACTACCTGATCCATCGAATCCTGTCTGATCAAAGTGATTTTGAAACTTATCTTGATCTATGAACCTTTTAAAATGTGAATAAAGACAACGAATGATACTGTACTGGCAAGCCCAAAGCATAGGGACACATGACAAATAAGTGGTTGACCATCTAAATGGCTTCGGAAGACAAAAGATGAATGATGAAGAAGAAGAGATAAATAAGGAAAAAGGCCTGGCTGATAAATATCCTAATCAGATTAAAATGTCTAAACAAAGGAAAATTATGCCACAAGTAGATGCAGTTCTGGGAATCACCATCTAATGAAGCTCATGGATAAAGCCTCATGGTATACTAGCTAAAATGGATGGTAGGTCCACATGAGCAATTGGCTAAATGAGATGTCACAAAAAATTTATAAGATAATCCAATTACATCTTCAACAAATAAGTGGAACCCATATTTGTGGTTTGACACCTTATAATTAGGTCAAGTCTTTATCAACTTCAATATCCAAAACTATAATAAGTTGTCATCTTGTACACATTTCTGATCAGTATCAGATATTTATTTGTCTAACAGTAGATTTTCGGAAAGAATCAACATACAAGCATGACATTTTTTTATTGAAGGCAATGTATATACTGCAATGTGTAACTTCACATCTAAAACGAAAACAACAGAATATAATTGATTGTTACCTTAGCAATTTTAACAAGCTGATCATGATTGTCATGACCATAGAAGAATGGTTCCTTGCGAAATATCTGTGATTAACCAGCAGACATATGTTTACCATATCCAATTTTTTGGAAGATGGAATCGGATAGTACAGAACAAGCTAATAGTATTTAAAAGAATAAAGCATTTCATTAGATTGATTTTCCCACTTACCATTCCAGCAAACATACAACCAAGACTCCACATGTCCAAGGAGTAGTCATAATCTTGCAAGTCAACCAGGAGCTCCGGACCCTTAAAGTATCTGGATCCCAACCAATTCATTAAATTTCTTCAATTGAGATTAAATATGAGGATATTGTATATTCACCAAGATCCCTAATAGAAATTCATTTTAAATTTCATCATTTTGTTTATACAAGATTATAGAATTTCACATTTACAAAGAAATGCCAAAATAGAGCTGGTGCCCAAGCCAAATTACATTTGTAATGACAGAGCAGCAGTTCCAGATATTCTATTTTAATGTACAAAACATGGTACAGTTGGACTTCAGATTGTCTTGTTTACGATGTTAAAAAAATCTAAAAAGCATCAAAGGATGCCACTTTCTTGGAAACTCAAATGTGAGACATCAGTCAAGAACCTCCAGCAAGTTATAAAAGAAGAGTGACTAAGACAGAAGATGCACCTAATTATAAATTAGATCTATGTATAATGAAGTAAACCAATCTTCCTTCTTATTTCTTAATATCATTTACCTTTCTATTTAACAAAAAGGTAATTACTCATTTTGATATCAAGATTGACCTTTTTGTTAAATATAAAATTACCAGAGCTCCTGACTCCGAAAAAAGGCAATAAGCCATTCTTATGTCAGCAGGAGGCAAGGTTCAGGTAACCTATTGAACTTAGGTTTTTTTCTTAGGTACACATATGTGAGAGGATATACTCATGTAAGGATTTTGCCATACATCAGAAAATGGTTTGCCTCTGGTGGTAAAACATCATGGAGCCTGAAACAAGCTAAACATGGAAATGACTGTCTGGCTGACAAAACTAAACCAATTGTAGTTATTCACTAACCAATTGTTTTTCGAAAAGAACATCAAAATACACCTTGGAAATGGCTGTCTGGCTAAAAAGTTAAATCATGAAGATTACGACATATTCTAGCTCATTCTTTTAATAGAGGCTGCAGAGGACAAAAAAGTAATGGATTTATCAATATTGGTCAGCGTCCATAATATCAATTGATCTTTCCACAAAAGTGCTCTCATAATTCAAAAACAGGAACCTCTAGAGTCTAGATATAAATTGTGGTTCCTAAGTCATCGCATTTGTGAATAAACAAAAAAGTTGCGTGTAAATCTCTTTTTTGGGTATTAGATGTGAATATTTCAGGATGATTTTTAACAAAAGTAACATATTTCTTCTAATCCCTGCTTTGTAATACATATCTTGTAGGATTTTACCCATAATATGTTCTGATAATCAATGATAATTGCAATTGCCTTGCTAAGGAATATAGGCACCCAGCATGCTATGGAATATACTGCTGATGCTGTTTAAGATAGTCAGGCACATGCACATGTCTGATGCCCTCATATGGGCATATCAGCATGCCTTGTGACAGCACACAGTCGGCATGACATGCACTAACCCAAATAGGCAATTGGCAATAATTACTACTGCCTATGACCCATCCTATATTTATAAATGCAGATAGATTAAACATGACAATTATCTTACGCATAAGATAATATTTTTTTATAGTCAATTGCAAGGATCATCTAAACTTTAGCATGCCAAACCTACCTTGAAGCTACACGAACATTGTACTCCTTGTTAGGATGGTAGAACTCAGCAAGTCCCCAGTCTATTAACCGGAGTTTGCGCAGCTCATGATCTATCATAACATTATGTGGCTTGACATCTCGATGCATGATTCCTTGAGAATGACAGTAATCTAGTGCCTGGAAGTACAAAAGGTTAGAAAAGCAGTATAAACTCACAAGTCAAATGAAGAACAATAAATCATGTGGTAGCATCAAAGAGAGCAATTAGAATTACTTGAGTAACACAGAAGCAGCACAACAATATCATGGTTGTACAAGTTCAAAATTGTTTGCAGCATCAGTTACGCACTTGTACTTTTTCTCTTCTGTAGCTAAAATATTTACTAAGCAACAATGCTTGCTCATTGCATTCGCAAATGGGCTCACTGAAAGACCAAAATATGTATCCTTCTTGTTGTTTCATAAATCTATAAGATTAAAGGAGAAATTCAGAAGTTTAAAGATCACCGCTAGATCAGGAAGAAGCCAATTTTCATAAAAAAAACAAAGATAACAGGCAGTAATATCTTTCTCAAGAATGCATTAACTAAAAAAACTTATGATTATAACTCATGCTCATAATTCTGCAGTATGATAACTTATATAACCCTAAAAGACAATGGGTATCAAACCAGATAGCTCCCCAACACTTGGTGGCTATGCTTAAGATTATTCCAATACCTAGAAGCTCTGCAGGCAATGAAAATAAGACCAAGTTGGCTAAAATCCTTTTTAAAACTCCAAACTGCTCTTAGTGATATCCCAATCCCTGTGATTAGAAACAAGATTTTCTAATCTTCTGGTAGTCTGAAACTCAATCTCCTATCCTGATTATCAACACACATTAGCCTTCATCTAACAGGATCCAATAATGAAGCAGGGAAAAAACACTAGCAGCATATGGGATCACCAACCAATAAAACTTTATTAAGAGTGGCACATCAAGCAGTTACCTATGATATAAAGCATCGAACTGCCTTTTTCTGCAATGACATTCACCAACCTCTATGCTCCTTCTTAACCTGATCCTTCTAGTCATCAAATGAACTATCATCATAAGCAAATGATAAACCCATGCAACAAGCCTTTATAAAGAGAAACACATTACTGAATGTCCTCCAGTTGCAAGAACCAACTTTTAATTTGCTGCTGCTTCCATGAATTCCACCAGACTTCAAACTCCACAGTAACCATCTCCTCCCATTAGTTAATTCTAGTTATCAAACAGACTACGGAATCCAGGTGACAGACCCATTTTAAAGCCCAAAAAATACCCTAGGTGACAGACCTATCTTAAAGGACAAACAATGCCCTACACACCTAAGCCGTGAGCAATAAACTAAAAATAATAATTTCAAATATATTTCTTAATCTGTTACAATTCAATATACCTTACATATTATAGTTGAAACAAGTAACATTGATAGTTGAAAACAATTGGAGAAGATATTACAGTTTCTACTTTGTTGAAGTAATTAGACTCCCAAAAAAAAAGAGTGTACAATTATTATAGGTATCAATGTTATCTTAGCCAACTAATATGCAAATGCTAAACTGCAAGGAAGATATATACATTGACTTAACACATGAACTTAATCATCCTTGTTAGGACATATGAATACAAATGTCAACATCATGGTCTAGGCAAGTTACATTGTAGGCTAGCTGAGACACCCAAGTTAGTTTCTTGAATAACAATTTCTTCATTCACACGTCTATTTCCAATGGTTTAGACATGCAGATTAGTTATCTGTAGGGCATGTTTGGTTGCACAGATAACTTCACAAAAGAAATTTTTTTAGGAAAACTTTGTTTCTGATGTTCATTTTACAGGGAAGCCCAAAATTTGTGAAAAGCATTTCCAGATTTATAGGAAGTTATCTTTTAGTTTTCTTTTAGTTTGAGAACCACCTGCTTATGACTTTTAGTTTTTCTTGCATCTCAAACATGAAGAAATACAGAAAACAGTTTTCATTTTCTTTCCCTGAAATTCAACCAACTCATATACAATTTCAAGGAAAAGATTTTTTAGTGGAAAAATGCATTCTCCATTTTCCTTACGAACAAACTAAACCTGAAGTATTCGCACCCATGCTGCACTTCAAAACCTTAATGTTCAATGATCAGCAATAAAGATGTGAGGTTACTAAGCTGTCATGAGTTAACTATGCCCATTATGATTTGTGAAATACATCACTTTTTACAGAATATTTAGCATTCACAAATTTTGATATCTCAGGAGATGAGCATGTAAAAAGATGCATGCATGGTCATATTGAAAAATGATCCAGATAATAAACCTTAAGAAGTTCGTAGATATAGTATCGTATGTCATAATCCGACAGTGTAGGGTACAAGACTTTGAAGTCTGTACTGTTAACATATTCAAATATCAAGCTGGGAGTTTTTGATTGCTGATCTCTGACAATATCAAAAAGCTTCACAACATTTGGACCACCACAAAGGTTCTGAAGTATTTTAATCTCCCTCTTGATCTGCAAACAGAGACAAGAAAAATAAGTTCAACAGAACAATGTAAAAACACCAGTTCAGTCAAAAGTTTTTACAAATGGTGGTGTAATTGCAGGAACTGATAAAACATGACAATAAAACACTAACAGCTAGTTTAAGAAAAGAACAGGAAGGAAGGACATTCCAATTAAATAATATGTGAAAGAAGAAAATTTCTTGATGGAAATCATAGGCAAGAATTCTGTTACTGTGGAAAATAGGGCCATGAATCAATGTTAAACCAATCACTCTCATCCAGAGGGTATAACAAAGAAAGTCAAAAATCCTTGTAATTATAATATACAAATCCCCATCAGAAAACATCACAATATAATTTGTTTCATGTGAATGTGAATATTTTGAAAATGGATACACTTAATTTGAAGATCTTGGAGTGAGCGACAAAAATAATGAAGAAATAAATTATCCAGTAAATCCACAAAATTTTTTAACAAAAAAAAACTGTGAAACACATAAAATTCTTTGTCCTTCATCATAGTACTAGAGACATATCAAATGGGAGAATCAGTTTTATAAATTCATGTAGTCTCTCTTTTCCCAGACATATTAAGCAAAGACAAGAAGAAGAAAAAAAATAAGACAGTATCAAATCATGAGAATAACAACGAAATTCACTATTAATTTGATCTTCAAGCCATCTACTGCAAACTCATGACATGGATTGTCAGCTGACACCCTTCTTTTGGAGTTTTGGTGCAGCTGATGCATTTCATAGGTCAAGATTTTTCAACTTCATTGTTATAAAGAAAAGAGAGTTCTATATGATGCATATGTAAGAAGATAGTTTCAAATGGTACATACATATGATCAATCCTACTTTCTATTGGCTTAACCTAACTTCCAGGTGCACATCAGAATCTGACTGCATGTCAATCACATAAGGCATCTAAATGATACTTTTCTCTATCAGGCTACTATGTTATTAACAAATAAAAGGATAGATCTCATTTTCTAGCAATGAAATAAGAAAAAAGTACCTATAGGGCTTTACAGAAAGAAAAACTAAAGATAATTAACAAAATAATAGAACAATGGATATCAGCATATGAATCAATACCTTTTTTTTCTTAACAGGCTTCAGGATCTTGATAATGCACCGTTCATTATTGGTTATATTTATGCCTTCAAAGACCTCACTGTACTTCCCTCTTCCAACTTTTCGCACAACCTCATAATCATCTTGATTTCTGAAGAAAAGTATAGTTTGAACCTCATTCAGCATATTTCTTTTCTCTTCCAACTGAATATGAAATATTACTGCTTGTTCTTGTCATTGGTAATGAACATGAAGATCTGAAGAAACCACCACACACACAACAGTTTTTGAAACTGTTTAGTGTTTAGTGATCAGTTTTACAAAAAATTCTTAGCAGCTTAGTACACATACTATGAACATGTGCAAGAATCCAAAAAGATAATCAACAGGACAAAGTGCATGAAGCTTCTGTCAACCTTGAGGTATAATCCTCTAATCCAAAACTACCACTACAATATCAATATAAAAAAAATATGCAAGCACACATATTAAGAAAGAATAGAACATATCATACAACATCAGAAATGGCATCAAAAACCTCAAGGATGGTATAATCACTGAATGTAATTATCTTTAATTTATTTCCCGAACAATTAGAAGTTTTCCCCCATCATTAATTTATTTCCCAAACAATTAGAAGTTTTCCCCCATCACAGTAATGAGTTCGTGTGCGAATGTATGAACTATGAAGATGACAAAAAAGCTGCAAAACCATGTAGCTGACTCTAGAAGGAAGTATCTTCAATTTTCAAAGTATTGTTGCCAAACAATTTTGATCTTCCATGATCAGAGTAGCTTCAATTAGCAAAGAAAAATCTGAATTGAGAATCTGACTTTGATCTTCTAAAACTTGGTCAGTTACTAGAACTGTCAAATTGTTTGGTTAACCTTACAAGAACCAGCAACCACTAATTCTGCACCATGAGACCATTCATATTGTGAGTTGTGCTAAGGTCAGAACAAATTTCATGAGTGGTTCTGTAAATATTATTGTCACAAAGTCAAGCAGACCTGCTAGTCTCCAGATAAATAGTAAAATATATTGATGCTATCACACTAGTAAATCTTCTATAACCATTCCTCGCTTTATGAAGTCTACTGTTTTTGTTTGATAAGAATTACCCAATAAACCGATATATCAGCACTTCTATCTTAATTCTTTATTCTTTATATTCTCCTATCAGAGTTATTAGTTGAGAAATGGAAAAGAAATAGACTTGGGAGCTCATAAAATTATTCTGTTAGGTCATATTTGCTGACATTCTATTCCACCATGTCAGATTCCTTGTGTTCTCTACAGACTCAAAACTAGTTTCTCTATAAGCCCCACAAACATATAGCCAATGCTTGGAATAAGAAGATAGATTGCCACAATTCACAAAGTAACCTTTGTTATTTGGGTCACGATCTTTAAGGAACCATAGTGATCCTGTATCAAGTATAAAACACTTTATAAGCAATTTACAACAAAAATATCTATGATGAAGAACAATTAATAAGCAGGATTGACACCATCCATTACCACCTATGATCTCCTAATCTGAAATAAACATATCTGATATACTACTAGTTACCCCAGGAAAATTTTGGTGCCTTTGGTCTCCTATATGCTCTTCTTTCTTGATGATGGCTAAAAGCAACAGGCCCCCTTGACAACCAATAATAACTAGACACAATTGAGTATCCCAATAGCCAACAATCACTGAGTGGCTCGACTCGACTGTGATGCCTCCTAACTACCTCCCCATTCAACCTGAAGGAAACAATATTTGACAAGGGCGACATGCCATTAGAGGCTGCCTCTCACCCACACACATGCGGGCAGGCAGGCATTGAATCTCTGAGATAAAGGGGAACCCTTCCTACAGGTATAAAGGAAGCTGACCATCTTGATCAAAGGACCTTCCTCTTCCTGCTCACCTCCATGTTCTTCACCTCTTTCCCTACATTTCCTGCTACAATCACCACCAGTCACTGACTTTGTCATGGAGGGCGTTTCTCTTCTCCTCCTTTGTGATTGCAGGTGAAGGATCTCACATGAATTACGCACCAAACAACTTGTATCCAAGATGGAGGTCTCCTGGAGTGTATGAAGGCCAGGTCGGCTCCTCTCTCCTATTCCTCAGTTGACCAAAAAGACCTAATTTTTCTTTTGAGGTCCAGTTTTCCTTTTCTTGCAACCCTTCCTTGCATCTAAACTCATGTATTGCTCCCTATTCAACCAAGAACAACGAAAAAGATAATATCAACAGACGAGAAAAGAACACGCAACATCTAGATTGAAGATTATGATGGAAAACCATCAATCGATACGCCAGACGCGCCAGAAGCACGCCTACGTGAACCGGCTAAATTGGTTCCAGATCAAGAAAGAGAACGCCCAAAAGAGGGAAAACATAACCTAGGGCTAATTCTGCGCTAGGGTTCAGATAATCCAGCTCTTACCCCCACTGGACGGTGAGCGACTCGTAATCCCAGTACTCCTTGGGCCGGAGGACGTTGACGTCGGTGTATACCCGGGCTTTCGACATGGCTAGACCGCCTACAACTCTACCGAGATGTCGCCCGTCACGGAGGCGAGAGGCAAAGGGCAGAAAGAGAGCGGGCGTGCTATAAGCGAGGAGGACGTAGCTTCTACGAGCGGAGCCGAGAGGAAATCGAGGAAGGGTCGGCCGACGCCGATGTGGCGAGCACGAGCGCGACCAGAAGGCCGATACAGGTCGGGTTCGGGCCAGCCGCGTCGGTGGTGCGACCCACCGAATCTGAAGTGGCCGAAACAAGGGACGGCGTGCTAGAGATAAAATTCCGACACGTGATAAGGCGTCTCTCACACTTGTAAGTATTTGCTTTCCATTTGCCAACCCCGTTCGCACGTGTGAGTATGAGTTTGAAGGTGACGCGAGCCGAGGCGGGCCCAGTTCACCGGAAAGCCGAAAAGCGATGGTTAAAACACTGGACCCTCAGTCTTTTGGGGTCTGTTGTTAGGTATCACCTTGGGCTGGGCCCATATACCTTCTTAGTGATACGGATTGAGTGCGGCAACAGAATTGACGGTCGGGATCATCTGGGTTTTTTTAGTGGGTTGCTTCGTTGGAGTAACAAAAGCCTCTCAAACGGACCTCCCGTGCGCCAATCACGATCTCGCCAGGTCGTTACAGGGCGGCCGTACCACACGCGACTCGCTCCTCCTTTTTGCTCGCCTCGCTTCCTGCCTTCCCGTGATCAAAAAGAGGCGAGCGGGCGAGCGTATAGGCTATGAAACTGTAGAGATTGGCGAAGGCCGCAGAACAAAGAAAGCAAGAGGAGAAGAAGAAGGCGAAGCGATATGAGCGGCCTCTTCTTAAACAACGGCGGCCGGAGTGCGCACCGCCTCCTGGTCCACCATCTTCGGGCTCCGCCCTCAGGCGACCTCTCCAAGCCCTCAATGTCGCACGCGAGGGCGTACGTACGATCCTACCCCTTGTCATACAAGCCCAGGAAATCGTCCTTGCGGGTCTCCCCCACTGTTTCTTTCCTCCTTTCTCATCCCTCCGCTTCCACCGTCGCCGCTGCTTCTTCGGCGTCAACTTCTTCTTTTCTTCGGAACGGGTTCGTAGGTTGGTACCTAGGCATGATCGAATCGCGCCCGGTTCTCACCAAGAGCCTCACCGCCGCAGCCATTTTCGCCGCCGCTGACATCTCCTCTCAGGTTCTTTTGTCGGCCTGCCCTCCATTTTGTCTCCGTTTTCGCAGAAATTTTGCCTTTTTCTTATTGGTGATTTGCTTGTTGCAATTGATTCGGCATGTTACAGATTAGGTTTTTCTATTATCAATGTCCCTGGGGAAACTGAATAGTGCAATGCACTGAGTGGTTGTTAATCTTGGGCTCCATTGGCTGGTGGGGTTGGCAAAGAATATGTCTCCTTAAGATTTTAGGGCCTAGTTTCTTGATGCAATAGCTAACAAGGATCGACTATTTCATTTGTATTTTTATCTCTTTCAGCGGTTTATGTGCCTTAGACGCTGAATACTATGCAAGCCTTTGTTTGTTGATGTCTTTCCATTAGATCATTCATGTGAAGATCATGAGTTGTCAACTGTGTTAACAGATTGCTTATCACTTAATAGAAAACACTGGAAGAAAGTAGATAATGATCAGGCCTTTGTGTATTTCTGTGATAGAAAGGCTTCAGAAAAGGTCTGGATTCTATCTTTAAGATTAAGCAACATACAAGTAGAAGGCTCTTATCTCTCATTCTAATACGTAGCAGAAGTTCATAGCTAAAAGAGCTTAATTTAGACTTGCTTTTTATTGATCTGATGAAAGATTGTCGATGTGATTAATGATGTAGCAATTACTAGTGCTAAAACAATGAGCGAGATATCTTAAGCAGGAACTTTTAACACTCTGCAATAATTGTGGATAAATTTTGAATAAAATTACAGTCCATACTCAGGATGATGTTTGACGTTGTATATGTACAATTTGCCACTAGCACTAGTTTTACCAATGATAACAAAATATATCAAATTCCAATTAGAGCATTGAAACCAAAATATAGAACTAAAATTTTTAAAAATAAGTAGGAGCAAGTTAGACTATATTGAATGTAAATTTCATAATGTGTAAGACATGAAAGCATCAAAAAAGAAAAAGAAACGAAAACATAAGTTCCGTTGTAATATTTTGTCAAGAACCAGAAGAAGTAAAACCATTTGATATATCCATGTAAGTTTCATGAAGAAAAGTTATGAACAGTATAGTGCTATCAAACAAGAATGGTATAGCTAAGTGGCGACAGACTTTTGATGTGGTCTAGGAGTTATGCATATCTAGGCTGCCATTAATTAATTGGCAAGTTTGTAAGAGAACTTGTATTATCAAACATGCTTTATGTACTAACAAAAGTGCTAGTAAGAAAAGAAATATTAAGAAGGTTTTATATTCTATTTCTTATGGCTTAACCATGGTTTCATTCTCAACCATGCTGTGCCTGTCCCACTATTTCATACTATAGCTAGTTAACTTTTTGATTTGTTCAGCCAAAAACCATATTAAAATTCTTTGTGCTGCTGATATTTAAAATGTTGAGATGGAGCACTGATATTATGAGGAAAGTCAGACAACAAAGTATTGAATCCTTTGAAGCCAGAGGTAGCAATAGTTGGGGATAAGATCGAAGGAGAATCATCATCTAAGATGCTATAAACTTGCCTAAAACCCATAATTGTGCACATAAAGCGAGAAGTGTCTTCTTTATCTTCTGTTGCTGAAATCTGTTTTGATTTTTGAATTCTGTGTGCATATAGCTGGATTCTTCCAAGTTCATGTCTTGATTTCTTTAGGTTGCTTCTTCAAAGTATTAATCTGACTGCAGCTGTTTTGAGCTTTGCTACTATACCATGAATTATGCTCTGAAATATACAGCTTAAATAAAGCTGCCAAATTTGTGGATTGATGAATCATAGTGCTGATTGACAAGGTGAAATTTACTATTGACTATCATTAGTCTGTTTGAAGTTTATATGTGGTGATAATTTTCTATTGGTCAAATTTCATGGGAAATAAGAAAATGACAAGGAAAAATCACATTAGATAACAGAACAAGGGTATATTATTTGGTTCTTAATTAGATGTACGTCTGACTAGAACTGACCCAGGGTCTATGGAGAAATAAGGCCTGAATAGTGTTAGGTTGCTTCTTACTGAAATAATGGATGGATGGCATATAGGTGCGTAGATGATTGTTCTGCCACATCACTGGAAATGTTTTCTTTTCTTTTCTCAGTTTCATTGTATCTAATGTGGTAGTAGAGCACAATGTACCATAGGTTATTGCGCTAATGAGAAAGTTGCTGCAAAACATGAGAAAGTGTTTGATCTGATAATTGGAATAAACTTTTCCTTCATTTATTTTGTAGTCCATGTTGGACTTTGGAAGTTTTTCATATAACAAAATCAACGAAAAGTAAAATTTTTGACAACCATTCTGGGTGCAGATAGCTGTACGGCGGTGTTTGTATAAATTGTCACATAAAACATATTCATCCATGCTTGAATATGAACCAAGTTTGGCATGATGAAGAACCAAATCTTGCCACAAATTTTATTTAGTGATACTCTTTCTGAATTTTACCTGTTTTCTTTAGGAAGTATGAACACAAAAAGAGACCTTAATCTATATCAAACTGGGTATGACTGGAATGAACATGCAAAGCTTGATTGGAAAATTTTCCAAAAGCAATAAGGATGCTGATTGCTGAGAGAGTGCAAAGGTGCATGAAGATTTGCAAGCTACAAGAAAATTAGAAAGAAGTGATGTATAAGGACGACGCAAATAGAAAATTTTCAAGCATCTGACTTTTGCAACTAATTTCATGGTTTATCAGTACTTAATAGATGTCTTGTAAATTACAACATTACTTTTATGTCTATACTCGGTGGTATTATAAAAGAATGAAAAAACACTAGAGTATACACTAGAGTATATATGGCAATTTTTCTCTGAGTAGGTTTCTTTTTTGGTTTGTCTTATAGTTGTCAGATTTTCTTGAATTCCAATATTGAAGCAGTACAAGTCGATTTCACAGAACTTTTCCTAACTTTTGACTAACTTCGCAGATCACCACACTCACTTCTCCTGACAACCTTGATTTGGTTAGAACTCTGCGTATGGCTGGTTATGGGATGATAATTCTTGGACCTTCTTTGCATTTCTGGTACAATTTTGTTGCAAGAATTCTACCAAAACAAGATATGATCACCACTTTGAAGAAGATGCTTCTTGGTCAAACTACTTATGGTCCTTTGATGACTGCTGCATTCTTCTCAGTAAATGCAGTGCTACAAGGTATTGGGACTATTTTCACATAGTGTCAACATAACATTATGCTTTGTCTTTATCATCATGTTTTCTAATCATTGTTAATAGCTTAATCATGATATTATCTAAAGATTTGTCGCTACAATTTTTTGTCTTCATATTTATCTTTATTTTGCTGAAGTGAACATCTCATGGTTTTTTATCTAAACATTTTTTTGTAACTGGCTTCTTAATTATAGCTAAATTACTCCGGTAGTAGACCAATATGCCTTTTGTGTTTTTGGATGTTTTTGGCTTTCAATGAAGATTTAACTAGACCTTAAATTAGCAACTGGATGAACAAGTTAAATTAGATTATAAAGTTAAGACAAAGCTCCCCCCAATTCAGGGTTAAGGGAGAGTTTATGTTCACAGTCTTATCCCTATGAATAAAGAGGTGGTTTCCATGACTCAACCCCTGGTCAACCAGATTGCAAAAGGGACAAACTTATCACTATATCAAGGTTCACCCTCAAACTATGAAGTTAGCTTCATATAGGTAAATTTCTTCCTAATAAACTTACGCATAGCATCATGAGAGATTAAGCAGGGATTAGCCTTTGTTATATCCTGGGATGTCACTAGATCAAATTAGAATAGCAAAGCACTAATATTCAGATCATGAAAATATAGGCATTAATATTGCAAAAAGACCATTGGTGTTATTGCATGTATGTTTATTCTTCTGTCAGCTACATGCTGCTGCTGGTTGTATATGGCTGCTTTATCATTCCCATAGATATGAACTATGAAGTAGAAGATGTAAATTTCTTCTCTGATGGAAAATGATGCAAAAGTTCTTTTCCAAGTCCAAGGTTCATCATGCCAATTACTTGTGAAGTTGTGGTAACAGGGTAAACCCTTTTCATATTTGAAGCAACCCAAGAGCTAATTTTGAATTTAATTTCATATAGGTCATGTAAATAAAACCTGATGCTATTGCTTTGTTTCAAAATAGTCTCAGTTTTATAAGTTGTCTACTAATCCTGTCTAGTGTTGCTGGACAAATTGATAGGTCGTTGTTGTTGGAGCTTGAATTGCTTATCTGTATTATAGCTTTTAACTTGCAATTTAATGCTTAATCAAGTTACATCTGCTTTTTTGCTGGGCTGATGTTTCCTCCGACAGTATGGTAACTTTTCTCAGTCTATTCATATTCCTTTTGTAAATTCAATTAATCTCTGAAGAAATTAACAATACTATTTAATCTAATACAAGCCGATGTGGATCTGACTCTTTTAAACAAATTAGAAATACCAGTCTTACGTGTTGTTGCTCTTTTTCTGATATGTTTTTGACGTCAGGTGAAACCAGGGGCGAGATAATTGCCAGGTTAAAGAGAGACATGTTTCCTACGGTTAAAAGAGGATTTATGTACTGGCCTTTCTGTGATTTCATCACATTTAAATTTGTCCCTGTTCTTTTACAGGTACATATATTCTTGTCTACTTTAACTATCATGCATAGTCTTGAAATATGTCTTCCACTGATACAATAATGCAATTCACTGCCTTTTCAGCCCTTGGTATGCAATTCATTCTCTTTCCTTTGGACAATATACCTCACATACATGGCAAGCCTGCAGAAAGTAAGCATTCAGAAGAATTAAGTGGCAAACTCCTATCAGAATTTGCTGTTCTTTAGGATTATGATTTCAAGTTGAAAATAGGGGCGAAGAGATTTCAAAGAGGCTCAGTTATCACTGTTATTATCTTTAACCTGAACTGGTTGAAATTGCAAACTGTCGTCCGTTGTTTAAATAGTGATGTCAAAGATTATTCAGTTGTTTCTCTAAAGAAATGGTTTTGATTATTGTAATACTGGTGCATCTTTAGGCGGCATCAATATCCTTACTATTGAAATAAAATCCATACATATGTCTAAGATGGCTTTTCCTCTCAATTGTGTGCTGATCTTTCAGAGAACAAATTACTCTATAGAAGGCTGGCCTGTCTAAGATGGCTTTTCCTGTCAATTGTGTGATGATCTTTCAGAGAACAAATTACTCTATAGAAGGCTGGCCTGTCTAAGATGGCTTTTCCATGTCGATTGTGTGATGATCTTTCAGAGAACAAATTACTCTATAGAAGGCTGGCCTTATTCGTATGTTTGGCGGTCAGAATAATTCATGAAACAGAGAACAAAGTGCATGCAGCCTCGCATGCGACATATCTTCCCACTCAGATCGGGCCATTGGCAGCAACTGACCCCTCTATCGTCATTTGACTTTGTACATTCCACTGAGCTACACAATATCTGAAACATACCAACCCAAACCAAAGATATATCTTTTGACATGGCAAACCATAGTGTGAATGATATCAACAAGATGAGAGGTTGAAAGGGCTTGCATCATCTAGCAATGATCAAACGAACAACGCTAAGAGCATCACAGAGACAACAATGTCAATGACTACCAAAAAGTACCAACTTGCTTCAAGTATGTGTTAGTTTAAGCTGCGCAAGGTTGTTTGCCTTTCCTTCTTATACGAGTTCTCTGCTCATCTAAATTGGTTGTCTTCCGATAACTACAATTACATCTCATTACAATTCACAGAGGCAGTCATGCCATGTTGAGGCTCAAGCATCGAGAGAACCAAGGAGGCTGCTTTATCCCATCCTCCCTCATTCGTTCCTCGATCCCATGTTGGAATCTCATATCCCGGACCTGACACTGCCCAGATCCGTTGCTGCTTCGTTTGGTACCACCAGACTGCGTCGAGGATGAAGAAAAGCTTGATCCAGAATCTGAAGTCGATGATGTCTCTTTCCTTTTTCCTCGGGCGCTGCTTCCAGTTGCAAGCGTCAGCTCCAAGTCGCTCTCTCGGTAAGCCTCCACCGTCGTACTCACGTTTCTATCTTTCTTCCCACTGAATTCCCCTGCCGGCAGCTTCAGATCAGGTGTCCGGTTATGTGCATCCGTCTTGTTGGTGTTGTTCATCTCCCTCATCAGCAGCTGCTGAACATGGTACAAATGGTGGAGTTCATGCACCTGGACCGGGCAGCGGAAAAAAACTCAGAATCTCCAGTAACTTCATCCTGATTCGACGGAGTTGTAAGCAGAAGAAGAAGAAGGTACCTGTTGTCTGAAGGTGGCTTCCTGCTTCATGATGGCCATCTTCAAGTACTCTTTGTCATACTGATTCATGTATCTCCCCATTGGCCCTCTGCGGTGTGTTGTTGTGGGATGAATGATCTGTTGAAGTTAAACTCACTGTCAATTACGATGGAGGCTTAATAAACAAGGAAACTGCTTTGATCTTATGCATCCATTCTGTCTTCTGTAAGCTGAAGGCCACAGGAGAGCATCACATGCTTTATGATCATGTAAAGGATGTGGACGACTGTCTCATGATCTCCATACTAATTGACAACCTCGAAATTATGACAGAGGAAGCAATCGAGAACATGAGACCTTCACGCAAAATTGCTAGAATGCAGATTAGGATGGGATAAGAAGTGAAACAAGATGAACTCTCAAAAGAATCTTATGATTTGTGACAGAAACATACAAATGAATAAGGGAAGAGGCAATCCTCACCGGAGATCTGCTAGCAGCTCAATTCTTTTGCTAGAAACTGCAGCCTGAGGGAAGACGCTCCTCTTCTGTCATAACAGGGCATATGTGCTTAGTTATACCTACAAAACCATCTCCATACACCCAACCTGCGGAATTTAAGATCCTCTCCACAGGCTCTCTCACCAGAGTATTTCAATGGGTTGAAGGCATGCCAAACAAATCCCAGTCTTTCGCCAGTGCAGCTCAATTATATGAAGGTGAAAGATGCCCAAGACAGTACCAACAAAGGATAGCATTAGAATAAGAAGACCCACTCATTCTACATACTATTTCTCAAAATTATGGAGCACTACTTCACAAGAATCATTGGACAGACAGCTATACCTCCCATTGTAGATCACATGTGTTGCCTTAGGATTTTATGATCATTACAAGGTGTCTCGATGCATGTATTATTCTCTGGATACCTACATGTCCCTCAATACATTTCTATACCGACATGTCCTGTGATGATTTGGTGAACAAACAAAGACAATAGGTCTTTGTACAGATCTACATTTTCTTTTATGACTTGACCAAGATCTACATGTTCATAGTAGATTAAGCACTAAGCCATAATGTAAGGTGATTAGATACAGTGATTAGTAGCACATGGCGTATATAATTGTGTTGTCGGCTGAGATTACTACAGCCATTAGCTGGATCTGTCTGTGGTGGGTGAGCTAAGAACATATCAGTAGTCGATCATATCATGTGTTGCATCAAGCAAGTACTGCGACATCTTAATGCAATTCCAGTGGATCCGACCATGTACTTGGTAACTTCAATCATCAGGAGACAGTCCTCAGTACATGTTCAGTGTGTGATCCTTGAACTGATTCCAATAGGATAAGATCTAGATGAAAGAATCCCACATTGGTGTCACAATGCATACTTGTGTTTAGCGTTGCCTGGAAACAGGATCAGAGTCTGGACATGGCAGGTTAATTAACCAGAGAAAGGGCTGCCACTGGCTGCTGCATATGGATCTGCAAGCACAGGCCTTGGATCAAGCTCCAACCAACCTAGTAAGCATCACTTGGAACAAGGGACGACTTATGAGGAGGTGTGCATTATTGCCCTAATGATACAAAAGGCTATATTTCTCTGGTTTTGTCCTTGTTGTACTGACAGAGGCTCTCTCTCTAAACAATCCAATTGCAGAGCGGGTGGATACGGACAGAGCATCTGGGAACTACAAGACTCCAAAGAAAAAGCTATGAACACAGTAGATTGTGATAGAGATGTAGAGATGGGGATGTTGGGTTGCGGCCACCGCGAGTGGGGGGCGCGGGAAGGGGGTGGGGGGTCATGTGGATGAACTCTTCGTCTTGTTCCCCTCGGTGCAATGTATTACTGTATCCTTTCCTCATCTCACTAATCCCCTTTTGTGTTTTGTTCTGTGGGCCCAGAGGGCGGCAGCGACAGGATGGGCCCACGAGGAAGCACGCGTTGCCGGGCTGGGAATAGCACCGATGGGTCCCACAGATAACTTTGCGTATTGGACCCAGGCATCTTCTCTGGGTGGAGAGTAAAGCAGGAACCAGGAAGCATACATGCAAGCATGAATTAGCTCAATCATGGAAGAAAGCAGCAGCAGCTCTTGCTTTCATTTGCCTAATGAAGACTGGGGATCAGGTCAAAACAAAGTGTCTCTTGATAGTTAAGGGCCTAAGTTTCTTGGATATGACAAGGCAGGAAATTACGAGTAGAAACATTATCACCTTAGCCTAGTGGGGTTCATTGCCACCAATTCCTCCTCGACCCGAGAAGACAACTTTGGAGGTGACAGTGATGGAGATATTCTGGTGGTCATCATGAGGATGATTGATTGTGCTGCTTGATGGAATGAAAGGGTCACGAAGGTCACTGAAATGCACGCACTTGCTGTAATCCGAATTCTATTCATCAGATTTATGTGTGTTGATGAATACCAGGAGATGCACTGACACCAGTAAACACGACATATACACAGCTTGATGACAACTGCAGCACCGGTGGCTGTGATGCTTGCCGTCTCTTATTCACATAGTATCACATCATCAACATCTCATAGTGGCTTTCACATATTATCATGTATTCTTAGTGAGATCATTTCAGTATATGTTGGAGCTTCACGTACAACCAACTGCATGCTACTTTAAATCCATGGCTGACAGAGATCTCATTCTCAGTATACCTGAACTGAAGTCAAAGAAAAGGTATTACTTCAGAAAAGAGAATGCTACAATGATTTTGATGTAAGGTATGCAGAGAATGCTACATACTACTTTAAGAGTCTCTTTTAGACGCATAAGAATACTTTATGGTTGTCTCTTTCCCCGGCGTCATACATGGGAGTATCTGAACGAGACTGTGTACATTGTTGTACCAGTGTGCATTGTGGTAGATCGCGTCCATTCATTGCACCCCATGAAGACGGTGGGTGCGTTTGGACGTCAGCTCTACTTTGTGTGCCGCTTGCGGATGGAAAAGACTCGTTCAAGTTGCAGAAATAGACAAAGCTAAAGTTGAGGTCTTCTTGGAGACTGAGACAGTCCAATATGCATTGAGAGTGGGCTGATACATCTGCTGCTTGTCGTCACGCAAGCTCTTTTTCCCTCGTTACAAGTGGGTGGAGGGCCAGCCTCTGTCACCACATAGAATATGAGAACCCTAAAGTTAGATGTTAGAAATCTAAGTAGGAAATGTTGAAGATACCACTGACAAGCGACGAGTGGAGAGCCTCGTTCAACCTGTGACGTTCGAGATTACACGATATTGAGACGACCGAGACGTTTGATGTTGTACAATATAGTAGTTGTGACATATGAAAATGATTCAAAACATACGATAGACGAATGAAATACATCATATGATCGTTCTACAACTTGAATGCCTCATATAGTCTCGTAGCATTCGAGGGGTTCTAATTAATATACAATAGATAGTGGGACGTGGGGAGGATAGAACACGTCTTATCTTTTATTCCACCTTTTTTTACCTCTTTGAGGGAATAAGGGGACAGCCATTGTTTGATTCTACAAGTGGCTTTCGGGCGGCTGCCATGGCCATTTAGTTGGCAGATGTGATGGTCACAAGGCATATTGAGGAGGAATTGGAAAGCTTTCGAGCACCCACAATGCATGGACATGTGGAGATTTCCTTGGACAAAATAAACCGAACCTTTATATCCTTTCAATGGCTCGGAACAACAGATAGGGTTGATTCCACTTGTTCTCTTGGATGGGGATGGGTGGCCGACGTACCCAATTTCCCTGCAGCAAACTGCTGCTTTGACCAAAGTTTTAGCAGATTGTTCATCTCGGAGTCTTTGATGGCGTGCGCCAACTGAGCACTACTGATGGGAGTGGTAATCTGCACTGACTTGAAGTGTTGCAGAAGCCGACGAGAGTTCTGCATCAGCGATGTGCTTGAAGGCATTTTGCCTCTGCTAGCTTCTCTTGGGTTCAGCTGGGGCATATCTTTATTCGTATTGAATGAAGGTGACGACTCTTAAAGGCATTTTGAAGTGTTGATTCGGATGATTGCCTATGGGCTGAGATTGTATTCATTATGGTCGTGGACTGACACGGGGCAATGGTTTCCATTATTGGGCTATTTTAGACGTCCGGCCCGGTTTGGACCATCTCACGTCCAAGCCGCCGCCTTTCTTTTACCTCCGTCGTCTCCTCCGTCTCCTTCCCTCCCTTTCTCTTCATGTCCTTCTTGCACAATGTAAGCCACGTTCTCCTCGTTGTGCCATTGCTCCCTTATGTTATGGGGCCGACCACTTCTCGGGCAAATTGGGCTCTCTCGCTTTCCCTCATTTCATCTTGTTCTCGAGCTCGAGTACATCCAACAGGAAGAATCCAATGCCGACTCTCTTTAAACAACTGTTCCCCTTTCTTACTGCTGCTTCGAAGTCACTCGATTCTTTCATTAGCAGCAGCAGATGGCACACGCTAAGTTAGTCCTCATAGCAGCGGCTGCGGTCCTTATTCTCTGCCAAATTCCTCGCTTCGCCAATGCTCAGCTGCGGCAGAACTACTACGCCAACATCTGCCCCAACGTCGAGAGCATCGTGCGCGACGCCGTCACCGCCAAGTTCAGACAGACCTTCGTCACCGTCCCTGCCACCCTCCGCCTCTTCTTCCATGACTGCTTCGTCGAGGTGAAGCCGGATGTGCTGTCGCGCGCGCTGGAGAGCGTCGAGCTTTCTGTTTGAGTTACTTAGATCGCTGAGCTTCTGGTGCGGTCAACCTTGCAGGGTTGTGACGCGTCGGTGATAGTGGCGTCTACGGGGAATAACACGGCTGAGAAGGACCACCCTGACAACATCTCCCTCGCCGGGGATGGATTCGACACGGTCATCAAAGCCAAAGCGGCCATCGACGCGGTGGCTCAGTGCCGGAATACGGTGTCGTGCGCTGACATCCTTGCCATCGCGGCTCGAGATGTTATAGCTCTGGTCAGCTCCTTTGTGACTCTTGACCTTCGGGCAGTCAGCTTTACAGTCTTTTGCCTCTCTAATTCATGGGCATGTTATAACCAGGCCGGCGGGCCGTCGTATGCTGTGGAATTGGGAAGAATGGATGGGTTTACGTCGACGGCGGCAAGCGTGACCGGGAAGTTACCGCAGCCCGGCTTCAACCTCAACCAGCTCACCTCTTTGTTTGCGGCAAACGGCCTCTCGCATTCGGATATGATCGCTCTGTCAGGTATAGTCACCAACTCGTCATCAATCATCGACCAATAATTGTAGAACCTTTTGCTTTTCTTTCCTGCGTGGCTCCTCACATGCTTGCAATTTAAGGATGTGGAGACACGACCTATGGAATAAGAAAAAGGATCGATGCTTTTACTCGAAAAGTTAGATTCCGAGTGAGAGAAATGAATTGATGTCTTGGCATTGCTGCATTCTCTTCTGGCCATCAAATTAGCTTTCGTGTCTACGCTTCTATGGCAGCGGCGCACACGCTCGGGTTCTCCCACTGCAGCAGTTTCGCCAGCCGCATCTACGACTTCAGCCCGCAGAACCCAGTGGATCCGACCCTGAACAGGGCGTACGCGGCTCAGCTCCAGGCCATGTGCCCCAGAGACGTGGATCCGCGGGTGGCCGTCAACATGGATCCCGTCACGCCGCGAGCGTTCGACAACCAGTACTACAAGAACCTGCAGCAGGGCATGGGGCTTTTCACCTCGGACCAGGTCCTCTTCACCGACGCCCGGTCCCGCCCGGTGGTGGACTCGTGGGCGCAGAGCGTCGCGGCCTTCGACCAGGCGTTCGTGGCTGCCATCACCAAGCTCGGCCGTGTCGGCGTCAAGACCGGAGCCAACGGCAACATCCGCCGCGACTGTGCTCTCTTCAATTGAGGAGACGACTTTTGTTGATGATTAATGGTGATAAAAGATCATGATGATAGAGAGATATATGAATTAATCGTACGTTTAAGTGTATCCATATATATTTTAATCCTTAATTAATCTGTATTTTCTATATATTCTAATCCTATTTGTAGATCGTATTTAAATATATCATTGAAGTGTCTGATAGAAAGAAATCTCTTTCTCAATATATATATATATATATATATATATATATATATATATATATATATATATAAGAAGAAATATAAAAAAGAAAATGTATAAAAACAAAGAGAGGATAAAAATAAAGAAATTATAAACTCGACCGTCTGATCAGAAAAGCACGGGCAAGATTGATAGACTGGGTAACCGACGGCGGATCGCTGGCGTCTGTTTTGGACTCGGTCAAGGTTAGGGTTTTAGTGGGCATATAATGAAACTATCCCTGCACTCGGATCCTTCCTTTGTGAAAGATTAGGGTTTGGGGCGTTCGAGCGATAGAGCGGCGCGACGAGAGGGATGGGGCACTCGAACGTCTGGAACTCGCATCCGAAGAACTACGGACCGGGATCCCGAGTTTGGTGAGCATTATTTCGGTTTCTGCTTCAGAATCAGTGTTCCTTTTATCTCGCTGAATGATTTCGTGAGTCTTTAAGTGTTCGCACCTTGCAACGGTCTCTGTTGTTCTTCCCCGGATTCGATATTTTTTGTCGAATTGATTCGCTAAAAATGAAAACTTTCAAAGGAAATATATAGTTTGGTCTTTTCTCTTTTGTCATAAGGAGTTTGATCACGTCTTCGTGGTTCTTGTGTAACATTTTGCATATTTAGCTTCTTCCTTACGAATCTGATCGAGATGTATTGTGTTTATGGGAGATTTTGTGGATGGTTGATGTCATATCATCGTTGTTCTTGAATACTAATCTTTTGTTGTCATATTCCAAATTTACGTGAAGAAAATAAAATTAACATGCATAAGCGAACTTTTTAGAGATGAAATAGTATGATTCAACTGAACCTTGTATTTTCCATACATCTTTGTGCTCGAGAAGACAACTCCAGTCAACTGTGTACTTTTAGAACGCAGTTCTGTTTCTTTAAAGATCGCATAAAAAATGTGCATCGTTATGTTTAAGTTATTGCCTTGTACTGCTTTTGATATCATCTGTTTTTTTTTCCTTTCTTCTCTAGCCGAGTTTGTGGGAACCCGCATGGACTGATTAGGAAGTATGGACTTATGTGTTGCAGACAGTGCTTCCGCAGCAATGCCAAGGAAATTGGCTTCATCAAGGTAGTTTGATGCTTTAACTCTCAGTTGCTCAGAGCATGCACTTGGTTTAAAGATCTTGAATGTATTTTGTCCTTTCTGAATGCTTTGGTTAATTGGTGTATGAAATTGCCATTTCCTGAGTGTTTGAGTTTATTGGAGGAGGAAATTTATCTATATATAACTTCCTTCAAGACAAAAATGGTGTTGAACATTTATAATAAATATTATGTCATAGAGTTGTCTCATATTATCTACTTTATCCTAAATTTTGATAGTTTGGTTGCGTAGGTGGGCAATGAAGTAATAGGGCCTTTTTGATATATGATCTATTAGATAGGTGTCAAAAGTATATAGAGCTATAGATAGATACTTGTATCCATATGTTATATCCTTTTGCTGATCTTTTATTTGATTTTATATTTAATCTCTGTAGAGGTTTCTATAAGACTATTCTCTATCAATGAGAATCATTTGAAACAACAGATTATGATTTACTGCTGCTGCTGTTTTTTGTTCTCCCTCCTTGGTAATGCTGTTGTTCTCATAGGAACTCAATCTTCTATTCTTGTTTACATTGACTGTTAGTTTTTTTCTTCAATTTTTAGATATCGAGTTTAAGTTACTATTTTTTTTTCTGGTTGTGCTGATTGTTGTTTATTTTTTTTGCCTTTCTGTGCTTGAATTGGGAGCTCTGCTCTATAAAATGATCTGTCCTTTTTCATGTCTTCCAAGATGCTCTTGTGGTTGTATTTTGGAGGGAACATAAAGGTGTTAGGAATGTACAAATGCTACACGCTTGAGTGTAGCAACCGTAAGATCATGTGTTCTGCTCTTTGTTTGCCTTGTTGTATGCAAGCCTGATATCGCATGATGACGATGGAAGGAATAGTGGTGCTATTTTTATTCGTATTAAGTTATCCATCTTTACTGAAGTAACCTGTATATCCAAAGGTTGCTGCTCTGTTCGTCCACTTGAATCGAGCCATGCTTATAGATGGTGATAAATTATGTTATTTCTCTTTTGGTTGCTTACGTGGTTATTTGAAGTTTGATGTCATGTTTAAAATGGTAGTTCTTATGTAGTTGGTGGTTCTATTTTTTGACACTTGTGCTGCTAGGAGACTTGGGTTAGTCTTTTGCTTCTTTTTCAAAGATGCATTTATGGTGTTCCAATGATATAATGATACACTTTTTCTTCTATTGACCTTCACTAAACTTTTTTTTTTGCCTTGTGCAGTACCGCTAAAGATGCCTCTCTATGAGGTGAAGCCTGTAAAATGCAGCACGTATGATGTTTGGAGTTTTTATTACTGAACTCAACTTATCTGATCCACTGGGTTTTTGTTTAAGACTTGTTATTTAATTGGAACGATGTAGTGAGTTGATTTCATTTCTATGGAACTAATATGGTCGTCAATGCTATCTGTGGCGTCTTCTTTGTCATTCTCCTTACATTGTAATCTGCCATCCATGAGCGTGTTTTTTGATTGTCAATACTTGTTCATAGCATTCACAATAGCGTGAACGCCATTAGACACCTTGGTGACGGTCACCATTTTGTGAAAGATATGGTGATCGACGAACTTAATGATGTCTGTCGTCTGTCGTCTTCCGGCCACATTTGACTGATGACAGATGCTGCGGTGATAGGAGTTAGGACATGGGAGTGGGGATGTTTCTGATTCTTTCCTGCACTGAAATCCACCTCTGAATTCCCATGTGGATATTATATTTGTCATAGAAAAATTTTCCATGGCATTTGTCTGATCATACGGATAGCAGATTGATTCACAGATAAATAATAAGCGTAGAGGTGACCACGATTGGAATTGGAATCCGAATGGGGTGGGTTATGGCTTTTAGGACTATGGCTTTGGTTGGAGTTATGGCTTTTATGTTCCGTAATTACAGCTGAATCAGTGATTCATCTATTTCTCCATGTAGATGAATCAGTCTTTGGTTGGACCTTAATTTTCTCTAAACAAATATTTCTGTATTTACTGAATATGCAATGCAGATGTATCTATTTCTTAATTAAGCCTTCCCAGTGTGAGAAGGCGCAGCTGCAAATAAAACACACTTTGTAAATGTGGGAGCAGCAATCGATGTAGACCTTAGAACCAAACACACAAACCAATACCACATTCTTCTGCTCTCAATCATATACTAATTCGATCTAAAAAAATTATTTTAAATATGGGTCTGATGATGATGATGATATACCAAATTTACTTATCAAAAGTTAAGGTTCAAAGCATCATTTGATATATGTTTTCAAGGTGTCATTTATCCTTTAAATATATATATAAAAAAAAATCAATCTATAAGAGAAGAGAAGAATGTTCTATAGAGAAAGAATATGGACTTCATGTAATTGGGAACATATTTCCTTTAACTTCACATGAAGAATAATCATCATGCTAATATTGCATGCTAAGATTAAACATCAACAACCACAACATATGAACTACAATTAGGAAAAGAAAGTAAATCATGCAAGGAGGAACTATGATACAAGGCTTAAGATCTTTTTTCTTTCTCCCCACTATACTAAAACACAAAGTAGATGTTCTACCATTTGCACCAAATCAGATGGTGCAGTTTTAACATCCTACCAAAGGCAAATCCTCACAATCTCTTGAAAATTCAGATGGAGTAGATTAATTTGCAAGGTGATCAAAGTCCATTATAAGTTCTCTAACATGGATTCTCGAAAGTTTGTACCACCACAAACAACTTCTTACAGGATTTCTAGACAACCTGTCTCATATTTCATTCACATATACATATAGAGTTTACTTTGCTTCATTTTAGAGTTTCTCATTTAGTTTAAATGTTTAGGTGATTGTTATCCTAAACATTATTCTAAATATTGGAAGACATACATGCATTTCATGTTGAGACATTGATCGATAGATAGAGAGTTCAATACTGGTCTTAATCTCAGATAATAATCATTATTAGACAAAAAGCTAATCTAAGCAATGAATGAACACCAAACATCACTTACAGAAACATTCTTATCATGCAATATTGTTCCTTCAAGATGGCATCCAAGCTGAGGCAAACACCACATTGTGCCCTTTCCAAGTGAGCATCAAATCTTCGTCTTCCCTCTTCAACCCCCACCCGGCCGCGTGCTCACCCAGCATGCTCTTCACCTCCCCTGCTGCCTCCTCCGTGAACCGCACCGACCGGAACCCCGCCGCTCTCATCCTTTGCCCCCATCTCCCCTTCGGTTCCAGCCGCTCCACTCTCTGGAGACCCTCCTGCGCGACCACGTTCTCGATCTTCCAGCACAGCCCGGCCTCGTACCACCTCCTCTGCTCGCTCCCCTTGGGGAGGAACGTGTCCACCGCGTCATATGGTATCCACAGGTAGTTGAACGCCGACCGCAGCCTCCCGACCACGTCGCACGACGTGAAGTCGGCGTCCTCATCCACCAGCGTGACCAGTGTAGGCTCCAGACTTCGTAGAGCCTTGAGGAACATTGTTCGGAGGGAGAGGATGGGTGAGTTTACGTTCATGGTGGAGACGATCGCTCCGACTGTCTCCTCCGGGATGTAGTGCGGCAGCATCTGACAGTTCACGATCACGGCCTCGCCTTCAGAGACTAGTCGTTGAACTCTTAATTGCTCGATCAATGAATCAAATGCATCGCTGGGATCAGAAGGGATCATTATGAACTCCATAGCTACGTTCCTAGAACGCGCGAAATTGACCAGCCTCGACCCGAGTTCATCGTACGACATGTCCAGCAACGGCGGCGTCGCAGTTGTCGTGAAGGTTGGGACGGTCAGCCTTATGAACGGCGGGCCTTCGGGGCGATTGGCTAGCAGGTCAATAAGTGTTGGCACCTGCATGCAATGCGTGGTGCTGAGATCAACGATATGGACCACGGGCAGCCCCTCCACAGCCTCCACGATGGCAGAGTTCGCCGCAGCATAGCCGAAACGGTGCCAGGGAGTTAGATCGATGAAGCTAGCGAGGTCGATGGCGGAAAAGCGATGGAGGTGGATGGCGAGGTCGGCATCGGCACGGGCCGCGACAGCGGTGAGCATCTTGCAGGAGCCAGTCTTCGATGCTCGAGCGATAAGAGCTCGGAGGAAGGCAGACGTGAGGCGCTGGTTGGAGTCGCCGTCAGGGGGAGCGATGTTATTGAGAACCCACAAGATCTGCTGGGCGAGGGTGGCATCGTTGCTTTCGATGGCGTTGGCACAGTGGACGAGCAGTTGCTCCATGCAGCTGGCGGTGTTGAGGCGGCCAAGGGACTTGGAGGAGGTCAGGAGGCCAGGCCACGGCCACGAACGGTGTAAGGAGTGCTTCGATGCGTCGTCGTCCAAGCACGGGCCTAGCCCACTGGGGTGGATAGAAGTAAGCGGAGGTGCACTTCTAGTGAATTGCATCATATGCTCTGCGAGAGAGAGAGAGAGAGAGAGAGAGGCAAACTAGTACAGGAGTAGCAGTAGAAGAGTGGATTTGGTGTTTGTACAAGGCATATATAGAGGGCTATGTGTTTTGGGATCTCTAGTTGTAGTTCTTGTTGGTGCTATGGAGGATGGAAAGGGGGAACATCTATATGTGAACACTCCAATGCTCCAAGTTGCAGTAGGGTTTCCGTGAAGAAACCCGAGGAATGACTGACTCAAGATACAAGACTTTTGTTCACCCTATACAGAGTAGAACTTTTGCTGCACGGCCCTCAAAAATACAGTGATCATCCCCTACTGCCTGTATGCAAACATGGAAGGTTGCTGGTTGTTTTGAGGATTGAAGCCAAATAGAAACCAAAACCAGCACTCTTCACTCTATACACCAAGCAAACGATGAAGATGTTCCAGTAGGCCAAAGATGCTTGAGTCCAGTGTCAGAGAGAGAGAGAGAGAGAGAGAGAGAGAGAGCTTTTCATGGCTGTGATGATGGCATGTGGGGAGGACGGGTATGGATTGGCAGGACATGAGAAGCGGGATTTCTCCTCTTCAGGGAGGAAGATGACAATGATTCAAGGAAGAGGAGGATGCTCACGGGGCGGCCAAATCATGGCGAGATCATATGGTGCAGTAGTTTCCTGGCAATGTTGATAGCAGCTAATGTAAACTAGTGTGGCAATGCACTAAAACGACACTTTGTATCATCCACCACATCTTGCCAAGTTTGCCCGCTACTTCATCTACTCCCCAATTAAAATAGCCATCACTCAATTCCACACCTTTGTGTTTGTCCTGTGATTCTCCTTCTTATCTTCATCTGCCACATCATTTGCTCATCTCATCCATACGTAGCACAACTACATTGATGGCCAAATAGCTTGGATGATTCTTCACGCATGCAATCTTCCCATAAAGTGAGGGAGAGAGAGAAAAGGAGGGGGCTGAAAAGAACACTACATATAAGAATCTTTGAGGACACTGACCGGACAAAGTGGTCGAGCATCTAAGATAATAAAATAACTGGATTGAGGAGGAATGTGTGATGCCGGTAGGGACTTACTAAGCAAATCAATAGGAAATAAAGAAGACGAGAAATTAATATTTGGGCATGCAATCTTCTCATACCCGAAAGTTCACGATGTCATAAGTCAGACGAGTAAGTGAAATGTCACGTCATTGATTAGAATACACCAATGCAGCTTAAGTTGACACAAGCATGGTTTAGTCAAAATTCCTCCATAATAATTGTGATGTTAGATGCGTGGGAAAGACAAATCAGGGCAAAATCCACCCACTCGCCTGCACCAAATATGCATCCATTGAGGTGTGATAGCATGCATGAACCAGTTAGGGTTTACTAGGAAAGATCTTAATCTTTGATACCAATATCATGGGGTTATGCTTGTCTTCATGTAAATTACTTGTTTCTTTTCTAATCTTCAAAACCTAGAGACCTTGACCTTTGTCGTCAAGATAACATAACCATTCCACGTCTCTTTCTCTCTCTCTCTCTTCCGTGCTGTGGTGCAGACATGAGATATTCTCAGAGATATGAGCTTGTGAGTGTGATTGAGCAGCGTACGAATGCCCATGTTGGGGTCTATCATGGAAGCGGCATGCTTAGAGGAACAAGGTCCCACGGCCTATGAAGGGGCAAGTCTCTCGCAAGAAGGCCATGTGAGTTGATACACTGCATCTTTCTGTTCGTGTGGGAAAGGACGCTCCCTTAGAGCATGGCCTAAAGGTGGGTGGGATCGATGGCCGAGCTCGGTGTGTAATTTCCATGGACTGCGTCATCAGTCTCTCGGTTTTGATCCTCTTCTTGTCCTTGACATGTACTATATACTCATGCCAACAACAACATTGAATTTTAGCTCAAGGAACACAATCTTCAAAGCTTAAATTCACCGCTAGAGGATTGCAGAGATGAAATCTAAACATCTGTCGATGTTGAAGACTTTGGTTCACGTTGGGGAGTCTAAATTGGCATTAGAAGTAAAATCTACCTGCTTACTAGAGCATATCTGGGTTAAACTGTACCTTCATATTGATTATTTCAGTAGGTGTACTAATACAGTCAGGTCATTGCTTATCTTTACCACAAGAGGGAACTAATTTCACGTGGGAGGAATGTTCACCTCACTGATAAGAAATCTCATTCTTAGATCTGATCTTACCATCTTCCCTTCACATGGAAGATAGATCTTAGGAGGATGACATGTTTTGAGCAGTATAATTAAGACAAGGACCACAAAACTGTCTCAGATTAAACTTCAATAGGTTATCTCTGGTTCTCGTACGGTATCATCCTATCTTAAGTTTCCTGAATGGACCACTTCAATTCGTATTAAGCCCATCATATAAGCTTATGCGTTTTGCATGACCATATGGTTTGGGAGGTATCGAACAGGAAGATATATGTAGTCAAACATTTCGAAGGTAGAAAAGCTGAAGCCCGTTGGCTTCCGCGTTGCTGACAAGTGAGAAAGCTCACAAAAGCTGAAGACATGCACTCACCCCACTTAGGGCACAATGAATCAACTCTTGCATGGAAAGCTGACCACCTTCGTTGTTATATATATCCGTATGTGTTGCATGATTTGAAGGGCATCCACGGGCGCAGACACCGAAAAGAGCATTAGAAGAATCGCTGGAAAGCATATACGGAGAACAATGTAAGTTAAGCCTGCGAGCTTTGTTAATTCCCTGATGACAGTACCGAATGGATTCCTGAGCTTAGGGTACAAATAGTAGCAGACAAGCAGCTAAACTGAAACGCCAACTTTCTCCGGGGAGAATTCACTTGCTTTGCTGCACTCTCTGTTGGCTTCCAACAGGACATGATATTGGTCAAGAGCTCAGACATGGAAGTAAGGAATAAGAGCATGTGCTCGAGGCATCACCTTCATCTATTCGAGAACTCACAGACGACGGTATTTAAGTAGCACACAAGCTCAGGGAACGCTTTAAGGTGAGTGCATATATACCCCGGACATGAGGAAGCCAAGGAGATGCAGACAATGATCTCTGTGCAAGAAGGGTAGGTCTTCTGTAAAGATTCCACTCGAGTTTATGCTGTTGGTTTCATGCATGTTAGCGTAGAATGGCGGCCCAGTCACCCAGTGAGATAGATGGAATGGAGGAAGTCTTCAGTTTGGTTGATGGAGTTGTGAGCAGTCGTCTATCCAACAGGATACAACCAAGTGCATGAAACTTGTTATCACCTTTGTTACTGAGGTGTGTTGACTGGTGTTCGCTGGATTCTTCTTGATGGTGGCTGCCTTTGCATCAGCTTGGCTTCTTCATCTTGTCTTGGCTTCTTAGGAGAGAGAAGGGTTTGCAGCATTCATCTGATAGCATCATTCAACTTGAAGAACAGGCTGAGATCATGAACTATGTAGACCGTAAATCTTCTGCCTCTCTTCAGATGATCGTTTCCGATTATTATTATTATTATTATTATTATTATTATTATTATTATTATTATTATTATTATTATTATTATTATTATTATTATTATTATTATTATTATTATTATTATTATTATTATTATT